GTTTACCGGTGAAGTGAATTTTAATACAATTTTTAGTTATCCCTTGAAAAAAAAGTCATGTAAAAATATCGAACTGAAGAAGTTCTCACAAATTTATTTTTCAGAAATTCGAGAGGAATATTTGTAAGATTTTACTCATTTGTTTCCCATACTGACAAGTTCATAACGTCAAAGGATATACAGAATGTCTACTAAGTAATGTAAAATATTGGAGGAGATTCGTTACGTCCTGTTTTGCAATATACAGGGTGTTAGAAGTTTGACTGCCTTAATTTTAACAGACTATAGAATACATTAAAATAAACAAAAAAACCTCATATGACATGCGTCCTAAACTCAACCATTTCCGAAAAAAAAATTATCAAAATCTCCAATTTGATGTACAAATGTTCGATTAATTAAGGAATATTGACATAACTACGTAGGTACATAGAATACCAGAAAATACAATGTTTATCACTTTTTATGCTTAATACTAAAAAATAATTAACGTAATAAATTTAAAATTCGATAAAATTCATATCGAGCAATGTGACAACGGCGCGGCGGATAACACGAGGTACTAAGCTGTCCAGCAATACGCTATTCAGTTGGTATCTGGAATTGGACCGTATCTGAGTGTTTTTTTCGTACCACTATTCCCTTTTGTTGAGATGTTTTCCAGCGAGTGCGCGAAAATTGGATTCGAAGGTGTCGTGCGTGCATCGAAAATGGTGGTGGACATTTTGAGGATATGTTGTAGTTTTGTATCTGTGCGTTTAAAAATTACTGAATTTTGCTTTTTGGTAAGTACCAAAATTATTTTTAATACGTATGATTATTTGGATGACGTGAATCTTTAATTATATATTTTTCAAATTCATAATTTAATTAAAAGTTAAGTTCCTGTTTTAAGAAATTCACAATTACTAAAATTCGAGCTAAAATGTAAGTACAACACTATCTTCGTACTACAAACTCGATACAATTTACTAAATGTTTCACAATAATAGTTGTTTACATTTTTCCGTAGGACAAGTTTGCCGCGTACAGACGTGGTATGCTGTGTAGCGTTAGGTTAAACGCTGTTATCACGTTGTGATGAAACTCCCCAGTATTAATACTAGCTGTATTTTGAAAACTATTAATCGTACGCCCCTTTAATATACAACTTTTTTGTTCATTTATAATTACTCTATCTCATGCTGAAGTAATGGCAGTCAAACCTCTTATACCCTGTAGAGCTAAATCTTTTTCGGTTTGTTATATATTTTGAAAACGGGTTGTGTGGTTGGAAGGTCAGCCTTTTTTTTGCAAAAACTAGAATTTTATACTGCCACCATAGGCGTAACTATGGGAAATAGTATCCACATTATAAAAAACATTTTAATTTCTGCCCCTTGTCAGTAAAGGAAAACAATGTTTCTAGATATTTTCATATATGTATGATGCAAGATTTAAAGACTTAAAGGCATTACTATACCTAATATTATAAATATTGTTTGTATATTTAAAAAAATGTGTACTGTAAATAAAGCATTGGGTATTAACTAAATAAATTTATCTTCCTACAATTTTTTCTTGGTAAAATTAGAATTAAATAAAAAGGGGATTATTAAAGCCAAAAAAGTAAATTTATATTTTTTACATTTAATTACACTAAATAAAATATGATAATTAAAAGTTGGCATTAAGGTATACATTTCAATCATTTTCTGCGTTTCTGAACTGAATTTAACTGACAAGGTAATTTTTAATTATACAAAAATTACAAAAGTTGAAAAATTTAGACTGTACCAAACACTCATTTCCTTCCTCAAATTTCACGATATAATAACCTGTAGATAAGTAAAGTAAACATTGTTTTACTTAGTTTACTGTCCCAGTGCATATCAAAGTTTGTTTAGGAGGATAGGAACTAACAACGACCACACAAGAAGTGAAACAGGTACATTATTAACGGTTATAAAGTCGTTGGTTAAATACTTAAATCTAATAAAAATAAAAATCGAAATAATAAAAGCAACAGCCAGAAAATTGACAAAGTAAAGAAATATCTGAAAACAACAAAAACCACGTACAATTTAAACTAGTTAATCTTGAAAACTGATAATATTGAAAAATAATGCCAGTTTGTCGATATCGATTAATATATTTCTCAAAATACCTAAAATATCCAAAAGTTATTTGTGCACAATATAATTGGGTTGGTTACAATCATTAGGTAATAAATAAAAAATAGTAGATACTCTTTATGAGCTTAATAATATCTGTGAAATTGAAAAAATAGATAATATTGTCTTTTCATATCCGTAGTACCTAATATGAGAATTTACATAAATAAAATAAGTATTATTTTAAAAAGTAAAATCTGTATCTGCTAATTTTTTTATCTGCAGTAATTTTTAATTGTGGCGGTAATATTCCAGTTCATTAGTTGAAATTTTCCTCCATAAGTAATATGTCATCATAGATAGTCCTGTAACTTAAATACCATTTTTATTGTCATATATAGATGCTGACTCATGCTATTTTTGTGGCGACTATCAAATAAATAAACAATCTAAATCTATGGTCAAGCCGTGTGCCGCTCTATGCTCACGACACAATGCTTCTAACTGCAAAAAAAATGTGCCATATACTCGACCAAGCAAAGCGTCACACACATACACAAACAACAATGAATTGCACGGCAACGTCCTTCAGCAAAAAAAACTGAATTGTTCACCGGTACGCCAGGCCGACAGGACAGGTATTAGGGAGCCGCTAGATACGTATCGAATAAATTGATCGATGCGAAGCTTCAGAGCAGAGGCAGACATGTACCTACATGTTATTGTAAATTGACGCGGATAGTGAGATTACTAAAATGTGAAGTAGTTGATGTTTCGCCACTATTAGTAAATATAGGTAGTGTCTATTAAAAACTTCGACTATTTTGGATATGCGCCTGTGACCTCCGTAAATATTGAACGGTCATTGTCGTTATTGAAATAGGTATTTACCGATCGCCGGAGACGATTAACCGCGGAACACTTAGGACAACTGTAAATTATTTTCTACAATCGCTTTCCTTATGAGTAAGAATTTATTTTTTTATTAACTTTTGCTGGTACTTATTATTACGTATTGTATATTTTATGGTAGGTTTCATGTGAAAGGTTCAGAAAAATAGACACTGCCCCTTTTTGTTTTATACTTTTATGCAAATACTTCCACATAATATATTCTTCTAATCTAGATTGTATAGTTAAGAGAAGACAACAGTTGTGATAATATTTGTTTGAATAAAATTACATAAAAGAAAACTCGGCCTACAGCCAACCCTGTACCACATTGCAGCCGCTCTAATATTTTCGATTTCTAATAATTAGCTGTATTTTGCCTAAGACAAGAAAATTGCTTTCTAAATTTTGTTAATGTGATATAAGAAATCGAATCTAGATCTTACCTCCTACTATTACTTGTTAAGCTTACAATTAAACATTATATTTATACGTAAATATTTCAACTTCTTTGAAATTATTTTTAGGGTTCGTATTTTGCCATTAAATAATTCTTTTTAGCAATTTGTAATTTTGTGTAGCGTTTTGAATTATAATGTATCGCTTATATTTCATGTCAAGTCCAGTTCAGTTCAGCGAAGTCTTTTTTTGTTATTGAATAGCTAATTTAACACAATTGTTATGATGATATCAACAAATATTCCGTAGTTACATAAAAAAAATTATTGCTTAGAAGTTCATGTTATTGGAAGATCCCCTCTGTTTCAGAAAAAAAGGTTATGAACTTTATTAAAACAATTTAGCAACTTAACATTTTAATTTATTATGTGCTTTATTTAAATATTACAGTCAGGTAATAAAAGCACTTGAACTGTTATGATTTTAGTGAAATTCTCCATTTTTTTTTTACTATGACAATAATATTTTTTTCGGTAGATGCTTGACAAAAAAAGTAGAACCACGAAAATAATATACTAATATGAATTAATGTTTTTTGAATTTTCAAGTTTTTGAAAAATTTCTCTGTCTAGGAACAATAATTAATGTTATTTTTTTTTGTTAGACAGTTGACAATATTAGGCGATGGGAATAATTATGTTATGCATAAGTTTACTTGGGGAAAATGACAGTAGTAAGAGAATTATGCTATTCTGCAGTTTTATAGTAAAATGTAACAGGAAATTTTCAATATAACATCCAATCCTTCTGTGTATTTAGATTTTACGAAACTTTGTGAAATTACCACAAAAGTATATTTTGGAAAATTTGTATTTTTTAGTTGAAAAAAAAAACTACAGATAAAAGTACTTTTTTGGTTAATTTGACGTGAAATTGTACTTTTAAGCGAAGAATTAGCAATTTTTTACAGTGCAGCAAAATATTTTTTTTATTCATTTCACTTTTAACTATTTAATAAGTTTCAGAGCAACAAAAAAGCCGTTCGTTACCTAAGTGCAACGTAACTTTTTAATAAAACTAAACTGCAAATTTTAACCTAATTTTAACGCAGATATAAATATAGTTACTTACTAGTGCACTAATTTTGATAATTAAGTACCGGAGCTACAAGTCCCTTTTTCTAAAAACTTTTGAAATTTCAAAACCTAAATACTTTTTGCTTTGATTCTAAAAAAATCAAAGTAAAACCTAAATACATTTTTGCCGAGGTCCCCAGATCTCGTGAGACCCGAGGCCCTCTATAGCCGGGCTGAAATACCTACTTAATTTTGTCAAATATATAAATAAATATTCCATTCATATTCCTGCAGAATATCTGAAATGCTTAGATAATAGCTGAGACTAATATGAACTATATTATTTAACAACAAATATAGAATCAACAAATATTTTCCCAGAATTTTAATCGAATTTATATGACAAATCCGCGAAGCGTTCAACAGTTGATCAAACCAGAAACGTCTCAAAATAACGAAGGTCTATATAAGACATATTCTAACTCTCATACGAATTATATCTTTCCACATTTTCATCACCCAAGTCACTAATGACTTAGCCAGATCTAGATATACCGGAGGCAGCAACTACTGAAGAGACCCGTTGTACACATCGAGTCTTCATTTGCCGAAGAGCGTTGGACAGTTGGGTTCAACCAGTTGTTCGGGCGCCTGGTAACTAATAAATGTGATTTCGTCCGCGAGACTTATTTATTTAATTGCTGGCATTACTTTTTGTATGTGCTGATTCTCGGCCTTAACCTAATGGCTAATTTCACACGATTAGTTCTAGTGGTTCTTACGTGTTGGATGTCTCTGGAGGAAAGTGGAACTGTAAGTAAGTCAGCTTGTTTTGTATTTAATTTTACAAAAAAAATAAACGCTCTTATTCTACCCGCTAAGAAAAGCGCGCTGCTTATCATAAGGTCTCATTAAGTTTCGCCATAAACGTGTTGCAAATGCTGAACGACTGGTGTCGTGTTTTCTTTTATTAATCATTAATTATTTTAATTTGTAAATTGAAATTGATGAAATTTCTATATGTACTTCTGTGTTATGTTTTTAACAAATGTTATTGACAATTTAGTTCACTGTAAGATTGATCTCACAAATATGTTAACTTAAAAATGTCCTGCCTACATGTGTTATATACCTACATATTATCTGTACTTTCTAATTCAATTCTAGATCAGATACGTTTCTTCGAAATAAAAAATTTATTGTTCGCAAACATGTTCTTTTAGAGAAAACAATTAGAATGTTTGTGTTTGATATTTCAAAAACAGTTTCATGGTAATCACTTGAACTTAGATTACCTATTTAAAGAAATAGGAAAGTGTGAGTTTCCTATGTATTTTAATCTTGACTTTTCTTATACATTTTCTTACGTCTTATAAGAATGAAGCATTATTATCATTGAAATAAAATGTGAATTGTCCTATGTATTATTTTATATGCTTGAATTGAATTGTATTTTAGTACAGGTCAAAGCAATGACATTGATTTTACAAATTCTAGGCACCCGATATACTTCTTGTAACGGTCAGAAGCATTTCCTTTCTTATTTTAATTTCAGATTGTGAAATTTTATTTTACACAAACATTATTTATACTGGTGTCTTTACCTATACTTCGTTATATTAATTACTTTTAATATGATGCAATTGAAACAAAAATATACCTAGGTTGAATGTAAAAATCAAGCATCTTAGGAATATTAAGAAACCCATTTGTACTGAACTGCATGGCTTTATTTGATTTTCGAGATCAGTAACAGAAACTGTAAAATCTAGAAAGAATTCAAAGCGATAGACATTTTTATCAAATATGGAATAACTTTTCCTAGAATATTTTCAGTTTTGTTTCCATCAAAATGTTCTGATATTCTTTTAAAATATTTATTTATTTATTTATTATCTAATGATTTATTGAGAATATTTAAATATCTGTAGATAATTATTTAAATAATACCAAATATCATTCAAAGGAAAGAAATATCTAAAGTAAATTGAAGATACAAAGTCGGTTAATTGATCTATAATAAATCTAAATCTAAAATAAATTGATCTTTTTCTTTTTCCAGTTATCTACGAAAAAAATTAAAATTTATATTTCCCTTGTTATTTTTTTAATCGAAAACGGAAAGAGGTGGATTTTTTAAACTCAAACATAGTTAGGATACATTTTTGTGTAGAGTTCAAATATTTATGTAGTCGTATTAGACCAACAGGACGAAGAAACGACAAATTTAATTTTTCTTGTAGACGCGTATTAGATTTTCGCATTTTTTAATTTAGTGCATTTTTCTGATTACGTTCATATACAGGGTGATTCACAAATGGCGACCAAACATGAAACCTCGTATTCTTCGGTGAATTTTAAGGGGGAGTCTTTCCTAAAGAGTTTTTATCTAGAACGCTTCGTTAAAAAGATACAGGGTGTTAAACTTCAAAAAATATTTTTGATTTTTTTAAATAATTTAAGAACTAGGAAGTGAAATAATTTGAAATTAATCACATGTATTTATGTAAACATTGTCCAAAATCTGAGGGCTTTTTTTAAAATGTACATGCTCCAGTGGCGGAGATACAGGGTATCGGTGGCATATTTTTCTAAATAAAATAGTACGCCACTGCTTTACGATGACAACCATGATATTTTCGGATTCGTCTTTCAATTTTCTACAAATTACTACTCTCTTAAAATTTACCAAAGAATACGAGGTTTCATTTTTGGTCACCATTTGTGAATCGGCCTGTATATGTTTCTTTCTTTTTGATAAAATATCAAATAAAAATTCAACAGTACTGTCAAAATTTTGTTTGAAATAATTGTCGGATGATTTGATTTCAAAGTACTATTTACGATAATGATATTTTTATGGAAACAAAAAATAAGTTATATCATACCTATACATAATCGAATTAGCAAAATGCTAAAATCCAATACGATTAAAAAAAAAATTAAAACAAAAATCTTTTCGATAGGCATTTCAAACTGGAAAAAGAGAAGTCAAATTATTTGTTATCATATTTCACAATTTTTCCCTAAATTCACCGACTTTGTATTTCTTATGATAACTGAGATTCCAATAAATAGGTAAGTATAATACCTATGTATTGTACACTTATAAGAATAAATAAGTTAATGAAATTGGAACTGATTATATTCATTCACAGTTTAAGTGAAATATGTGAAACGAAGTAAGAGTGTGCCATGTATACGTATATATTTTTTTATACTAAACTATACATATAAAAAATTTCAATGACAAATTATTTTAAATTTTGCACCTATTTAAGTGAAGCAATTTCTTAGTAAGAATTTGAAATATGTTTATTTTTTGTTTTCTAATTTTGATTTTGTTGTAACACCTGAGGTAACGAAGCTTGAAATTATAACTTAAAAACCTCGCAAAAACATATACTTATTTAGTTCCGGTTTAATTGTATCTAGGTCCAAAAAAAATAGTAATAATAAGTAATGTAAAAATGATTTTCCACTACATCATTTTAAGATTCTAGATATTTTGTCTATATATTTTTTAGGAAAAAAAAAGTTACTTTGTTATCAAATAAAAAGTCAAAAAGTCAAACAATTTTCTTCGATACCTAAAATCTAGTCGTGCAATACCTAATTGTTGATAACAGAAATACCTACTTTATGGGCTACATGCAGCAAGTAACATGCTCCAATTGACATTGAATTATACCAGCAATATCTAGTAAATTGCTAGTAATTAAAATAATTATCTAAACTAAAAATTAAAAATTGTATGTCCATGATACATCAATAAATACAACTAGTATTTTGTCCAAAAGATAAGGTGAATTTGTTTAAAAAATAAAAAAATCTTTATGCTTCCAAATCAATTTCGTCGCCTTCAAAGTAATCCCCTCCCGATACACTTACGCCAACGTTTTTTCCAACTGCTGAAACAATCTAAAAAGCCTTCAATGCTTTCGTCAATTCGGCTTTTATTTCCTCGATTGAGTAGAAACGTTGTCCACAGAGTGGTCTTTTGAGTTTAGGGAATAGTCAGAAGTCACTCGGTGATTGTTTTTTTTTTGTTGGGAACACTCTCCTGCAGAAATGGCACAACATTCAAAACTTGCGTGTATTTTGAGACACCCGATATTTAAAAGATTGCATTAATTAACAATTTCACAACTTCATTGCAGTTATGGGTTTTTATATAATAAATAATGCTGCCATATCAATTTTTTTTTGGTAATTATTATTTACCATCTTTTACTATAATTCTATACCAGTTGGGACATATAGTCCATAAAGTAGTTGTTTCCCGCAATAACAACAGTTATGAATCTTGTATGTGAGGTTAAATATCTTTTGCACGTCTAGATTTTTGGTATCCAAGAACAATGTGTGACAGCTATTGGTTTTATGATTTTTCAGAAATAAATTTTTGAATTAAAATTATTTGACTTAATACCTTTAAGTATAATAAAGTAGAAATTTTAAAGCTAATAATCAAATATATTTTTTTAATTAGAATAACTACGTTTTTATCACACATTTCCATACCATACCACACAAATCAAATTTATCTTTTATTTATTTATTTATTTTAATTATTTATCTACCATAGATATAAAAAAATTTATTGTGGTAATAAATTAAAAGTTGACCTATTATCTATTTGTACTGTAGATACGTAAAATTACTTTCAAATTTTCTATAACAAAAAGTACAGTACAGTAAAGAAAGAAAAATTGTACTTGATAATTCTAACAAAAATGCTCACACCGATAAATGTGAAATGAGTAGATATATTTAATTTTACTAGTACATATGTTGTCATAAAAGCTATTAAGAATTGCTTATTATAATAATTGTCAGAGTTAATAAGATTTTCTGATTAGGAGCAAGTATAGAAATTACGTTATAGAACTGATAACTGCTTCCGCTAGCCATGAACATACTGTACATAAAAATATACATCATAAATCATAACGAACAGTAATTTTTAAACATTTACCACGTCTAAGATGTAGCTTGTAACAATGTAGTTGCAACATATTGAATACCAAAGAAATCCAAGCCATCAGACATATGTTGAAAATAACTATAATGAATGCTCTTGACCGTTAAATATTTAAGCGTACGTTTTAGTTCCGCTACGAACTTTTGATTTAAAATTCCTACAGCGCCTTAAATACCTAAGTCGGCAATAAGGCGTGTAATTTTTAAACATTGGGCCCATGAAGCATATTTACAGCGGTTGTTTAACTAATTAAAACATATTTTTAATTTACAATGTGTTCTATTCAGGAGCTAGCCAATCGTACTACTTTTTGTCTTTAACCGATTTTGCTGTAACATAATCAACAGTTGTGATTTTTTTAAGCAGAGGTTGGAGATTTTTGTTAGAGAGCGTAGAGTACGTTATACACCATTAGCGGTGAGCATTATTTAATTTGTCTGCTTTTTCCAGTGTTAGATTTTTGTTTAGGCAAAAATGAAAGTAACCCTTTACTGATCCTTTTGGAGCGAGAGTTTATGTAATTAATTTATTATACAGGTGGCAAAATAACTAATTAACAGAGGAAAAACTGAAACTATGCCATACATAAATAAATTAAGACAATAGAAATAACTTGACACCAGAGCTAACAACCCATCCAGTCAGTTGCGTTTACTACGAGCAGCTTGGATAATTTCAAATATTTTTCGAATTATAAATTATTTATCACAGTTAATATTAACGCTATTGATCTGATTACTTATGGAAAATGCAAAAACAGGTGATAAATTAAATTTACTGAATTAGCCCAATGCAGTTTTTCTAAAGCTCATGAACAATACCAATATGATTTGGTAAAAAATATGTCACAAAACTATTTAGTTGCGATAAAAAATGTTTAAGCAAATCAATATATTATTTTTAATTACTGTTAAGGTCCATAAGTTCTAAACATATATTTTTTCAAAAAAAAAGTCATGTAAGTATTGTTAAAATAACATCTAGCAACTTTAATAAAACTGTGGTTCAGCCAATAACATTCAAAAACTGTAATCGTTTATTAAATGTATAAAAAGCACAGTGTACTACATTGGTACTTCAAAAATGGTTATAGTTTTGTTTCGTGTTCCCCAGAAGAGTCTAATAAGAAAGTCACTAAAAGAATCCTTAATCTCTAGCATTTGCGCCAGAAGAATGGTCGCAGTTGACATTGGCTTTGGAATTATAAAGTGAATAAAAGATGCTTCCAACGCGCTTTTAATAGATCTATCTAAGAAAAATAAATCTTTAAGAAAATAAATTAAAAGGATTAGTCAAGGAGTTGATTTTATAAATTCAGTGTGGTAGAGATTAAACCCAATTAAATAAAAAAGTAATAAAAAATATTGCAAATTAATAATTACCGACCATTTCCAGCACGTAATTATTAAAAAAAAGTGGTCATACATATTAAACATTTTATACTGCGTGAAATGAAATACAATTTTTACCATAAACAAATAGCTTTTAAAATTATAGCAATATTTATTAATATAAACCAAGATAGTAAGAAGTATTTTTTGGCTAATGGATATCATATAAAACTTTTTAAGCGCAGTTATGTAGAATAAAAAAATCAGAGAAAGATTATTATTTTTAAGGGCAAATACCGGTATATTATTCTAGTCTACATTTCACGCCCATTATCTAACTGCATGTAGTAGGTACGTGGTTAAGGTGTGGATATATTGTCATACGTCATTTATGTATACCTTACTTTGAGATTAAAGAAAAAGTTAACTGTAAGTAAGTAGGTGTAATACTCTAAGAATACGTAGATATTATAGAGAACGAAAAGAGTCAATTAAACCAAAAATATTTATGTGGGTAAAGCGTACATAATTTGTTCCAGTTTGCTAAACAGATTTTTACTGTTATAATTCACCTACAACTGCACTGCAAGAATATTTTTAAATATTTAATAATGGTAACGGGGCTGAACAAATTCCCCTAATAATGGTATTAGTTGTGTATGTATTTTATCTGACTATGTGTTCAGATGAAAAAATACACTTATTGAGAAACGATTATGAAGCAGTAATACAAAAAAAAATGGTTCTATACCTATAATATGTGTTGTACACTAACTTGGAATAAATTTGGTATATGAAACACAAAACTGTATTAAAAATACTCAAACACATTGACTAATTCTATAGGTTGCATGCACTAGATATGACATATTCGATGATTTATTTTAATTGGCAATCCTAGATTTTTTAGGGAATTTTTTGAACGCGGTATAAAGTTATGCCTCATATCCAAATACTAAATATTTATTCGTAGTCATTTCCAAGCAAGGTAAAGATTATTTATCCTTGTAATTTTTAAATATGTTACTCAATTTGTTCAGTTGCAAACTGTTATTTTAGAGGGAACCAACGGAAAATTTTTGTAACCAGGCTAAAGGGGTTACATGGATTTCGAAGCTTAAAAAAAGCATACCAATTTTTTTTATTTAATGTAATAAGGGAATTGTATTTAAACTTATTAGCATATGAAAGAGCAACGCTTAAACAATATTTTACAAAATTTTCATTTAAGTTTTCAAAATTCAGCCGTTGGGACCTGGTTTTCGAAAAAAAAGTACCCCGTCAGGATAAATCATGATAGCTTTAACCAAAATCAAAAAACTAAATATTTTCTATTATCCATCTAACCTCCATGTATAGCCATGGTTCTAAGATATTTTGCTGTCTTTCATCATCAGCAGAAAACACTAGCTTACACTGTTAAACGATCTACATTGTTGACAGTGTACGCTAGTGTTTTCTGTTGATGATGAACCGAAGTAGAAAGCCTTTAAAAAAACAATAATTTTAGTCTCATTACACATGTTTACTATAATTTCTGATGAATATAAATACCAATACAATAGCAAATACTAGTTATATTTCTTTTACCTTCACTCCAACCATGTGAAAATGTATACAGTGTTTCAGTAAAGAACCACTTATATTAAGTCTTATATCTGTGCAACCCAATACACGGCGTTTTTAAATGAAGTAGCAAAAATGTATATGTTGAGATATAACAGAGCAAATTTGTTATACATATTACAGAAACATAAAGAATATAAATTATTTTAATCCGTTAAATCAATTTTATTACTTGTATTACTGTTTCGCCGAGACTTCTTTGTCGAACTAACCTACTGTGGTTTACAGTTTAGTTCACGAAAGAAGTTCATTAAGAAATTTTAAAAATTGAAATATGTATTCAATAAATAATGTTAAAAAGTTAATAGCATTTTGAAATAGAGATTTGTGTTGTATTTTTTTTTCAAATACTCAATTTCATAGTTAGATTAACTTGATTTGGAAATGCATCTGTTTTTCTTTCCGGTAGATATTGCAGAAATCCCTGTATGTACTTATCGATTGCTATAAATCTAAAAAATGTTTTACTCAGGAAAAAGGGATCTTAAAAATATTTTATTTAATTGTCAAGAATTGGGCTTAACATTAAATTTATTTACAACTTTCCTAAGAAAATCATGGATAATGTAGAATTTATTTTACAGTAATAATTAGATAAGGAGTAACTATAAATAAAATATACCTGTTCAATTACACTGACACTGATAGGCTAGTTAGATATATAATTTGTTTTAATTTGATGAGTAATGTAATGTGAGGATCTTGACAAAATCTAGATAAACTGGTCTGAGACGTCTTTCATATTTTTTAACTTAATGATTTATTACTATGCGCAACAGTCTCTATCTGTAAATTAAGGAAGACTGAGGATGTATCCACTTATTGAAAAAAAAAAAAATCATTAAGACAACAAAATAATAAAAACATTTCTAATAAAATTGTCCGTCACAAATAGTACTTCTATAATTTTTACATGTCGTCTTTTAAAAAATTTGTATTTACTTGCTTACTTTATTGTTATACTTTCTCATATTAGTTTAAACACCAATGAAACTTAAATACAACAGTTATATTTTAGCTGTAAATGTATTTTTGTTTCTTACAAAATTTAGATAATTAATATACATATACAACACAAAATGTATATTACACACTCAATAATTTAATAATTTAGTTAATCTAATTTAGTTCTTATTAATGTCATTATGGCAGTTTTTTTAAAGTTAGTAAGTTAAGATAATGGCTTTGCTTATTTTCTTAATTTAAATGTTTCAATCACTTATTAATGTAGACATACTTATTCTAGGTAAATGCTCAAATTTCCGAAAGCACCGCTCTGAAGAAGATTTTTGGACCAAAGTTTGGAAATTTTGGAAACCACCCGCCACCTCGTCATGACACACCCTCTTCCCCATGTCGCTGCAGTAAGTAAAACACGGTTATACAATTTATTAGAAGTAGTATAAAAAAGCAACTTTCTATATCTTAATAGTTATTAGGGCTAGTGTGTAGTCCAATTAAATAAGCCTTTAAATCGAAATTTTGGCCAACTTGCCTGAATTTTTGATATGAGTTAGTTTGAGGTATATTATAACAATAAGTGACAGTAATTTTTTGCTCAACCCCCGGCCAAGGGTGAAAAAAAGATAAAACAAAGGAGTTTTTCATGATAACTCAAAAAGGGCAAGAGCTTATAAAAGTTGTAAAGCATACAATTCTACATAAAAATAGCATCTTGACTTATTCTTGTACTATTAAAATTAACAGAGTTAGGGAGGCTAGAAGTTAAGGGAAGATTTCAGAAATTTAAAAAAATAACAAGCAGTCAATCTACTCTAAAAAATGTAGAGACACGTATTTTTTTTATCGGCGGAAAAACATATTTACGGTGTGAAATAAACCCCAAAGTTCGACCCCCAAAACAGTTTTTTCAAAATTTCTGGGGTTCTAATCAATATTTTGAAATGAAACAAAATGGAAATTACTTATGATAAAAAACAAATATTTCGCAAGTGATATATTTCTGTGTTTGGGGGTTGCTACCCTTATTTTTTATTTCAGAAAAACTATATTTTTTATTTATAAAAAAATCATATTTACTCAAAAAGAATTAAAAATATGATTTATGTAAACAAATTGACAAAATTAAATAGACCTGTTTCGAGGTTTTCGTTAAAATCTCTGTTTACGGGGGTGAACAGCAAATTTGAAATTGTTATAACTTTCTTATTAAAAATTAAAAAATATATCTATTTCTCTGAAAAGAAAGGTTACATTTTTTAGAGTAGATCGAAAACAAAAATTACAAAATTCATTCATTTTTCTGCTTGATTTTTTTAAATTTCTGAAATCTTCCCTTAACTTCTAGCCTCCCTAACTCTGTTAATTTTAATAATACAAGAAAAAGTCTAGAGGCCATCTTTATGTAGAATTATGCTTTACAACTTTTATACGATTATTTTTTTCTAGCCCTTACCCGTTCTGAGTTATCTTGAAAAACCCCTTTGTTTTATCTTTTTTCACCCTTGGCCAGGGTTTGAACAAAAAAATATTGTCATATATTGTTATAACATACCTCAAACTAACTCATATCAAAAATTAAGGCAAGTTGACCAAAATTTCGATTTAAAGGCTTATTTAATTGGACTATGTGATATTGGCCAGAATTCCAGTCTCGATTAAATAATTTAATGCCTTCTAAAATTTTTATCGTGATCTTGTTTCTTTCAGCTTGTGGAGAGAAAAATGAAAATAGCAGAATCGTGGGAGGAAAACCTACAACAGAAAATGAATTTCCGTGGATGGCAAGACTGTCCTATTTCAATAGATTCTATTGTGGAGGAATGCTAATTAATGACCGATATGTGCTGACTGCAGCACATTGTGTGAAAGGGTAAATAATATTCTGAAAGAACATTCATTTGCCGATATATTTCTTTTGAACACTATTATTACTCGTCTAATTTAATACGACTTAATTTACCAAATCAGTGCCTTAGTACAGAAACTTCTGATTGAAAATATTCATATTAGAAACCTTATTATTTTAGATATTTATATAGAAGAGAAAATAAGAAACTAATTTTTTCTAAGCCACGAAGAACTTTCTTTCCAGAAAATTAATGTACTAGAACAAACACGTGTGTTCGACTGTTTTGACAATTTCGACAGCACTGTATAAATATTAATGTTTAGTTTTTGCAATAACAGAAGGCAGGAGAACATACCCACGCAAATATGTAATTATGGCGGCCGTAGATGTGAAACACGTTCACTTCGAATTTGCATAAAATTACAGCTTTTACCAAACATACTAAACAAAAAGTAGTTTCATCAATCCAACCAGTTTTGTAGATGCCACAAGTTCATTAACAAAGGACATGTCAGTATGCGAACGACCTCAATCGAGAGATACGGACATTTTGCTGGCATGATTTACTGTTGTTCTCATTTAATGGTACGCATTGAAAACCTCGCACATGAAACAGTTTGTCATTTCAATACTCGTTTTTTAATGAAAGAAGAAAAGTTACAAACATCGTATTAACTGTTTGCCTTAAATATTTGTCCAACGCAGATAGAACTTTTTATAATTCAGGATAACAAAATTTAATTTCACTTCTTCTCGAAAATGGGAACCCTAGCAGGTTGTGTCCCAAAGTCGTGGACGTGTCTCGGTATTTGGGATCTTGCGATGAGTTCATCTCGCAAACTTGTATATCAATGAAGGCTCTTACGATAATGAGTGGAATATACAGGGTGTTAATTAAGTATGTACAATAAATTCAACAGACGATTATTTGAGTGATTTTAAGACAAAAAGTTCATATACCTAAATTACAACAAAATTGGGTACAGGGTATTTAAGATATTTACGAAATAGCATTTTTTTACAAAAGTTTAACGCTCTGTATCTTGAAAACGAAGCTTCTGCGGACCAATGTTTATATGAACTTTTTGTCTTAAAATGACTCAAATAATCATGTGTTGAATTTATTGTATATGCCTAATTAACACCCTGTATATTGAATGGCTGATTCTCTTTTCTTTTTGATGTTAAATAAACTGGGCAAAATAAGTATGTAGGTACAATTTATTTATTTATTATACAGGGTGTTAAAAAAGAGTGTAAAATTTTAAAGGAGGTAATAGTATGAACCAAAATAAGCAGAAAAGTCTCAATAAACATGGGTCCGCAAAGTAACGGTTGCGGAGATATGGAATGTTTTATGTTTTTTAGCCCCTTTTTTTATTTTGCAAAAACGTTGTGTATTTTCTTATAATAGTTGGTTGATGTTTAGTGAAATAAACAGTACGTATTTGACAGTTGTTCTCAGTGCACAAGTTTTCTTTCGCTATGGCTGGTTACTCTAACGCAGAATTAACAGACATGCATTTCATGTATGGTCGTGCTAATGGGAACGCCACCGAAGCGCGACGTCTTTATGTTGACGCTTATCCAAATCGCCAGATTCCTTCACAACGCATGTTTGGAAGAATTCACCAAAGATTGCGTGATACCGGTTCCTTGAGCAAACAGTGCCATTTATCCGGAAGACCAAGGTCGGTATCCACTCCTAGAGCAGAAGAAGAAATTCTAGCACTGGTAGAGCAGAATCCAGGTACGAGTGTGCGGAGAATATCAGCCGAGGTAGGAATTAGTGGTCCTCTTGTTTGGAGAATCCTTCACGAGCAACTGCTTTATCCATACCATGTGCAACGAGTACAGGCCTTAAATCCAATAAATGATCATCAAGCACGTTTGGTTTTTTGCCGCTGGTTTCTACGTCATGATGCTGAAGACCCTCGTTTTCTTGCAAACATTCTTTTTACTGATGAGGCCGGGTTCACAAGAAATGGAGTGTTTAATTTTCACAATACGCATATTTGGGCCGACGAAAATCCTCATGCTCTAATAGAATCTGGACATCAGGCACGTTTTTCATTAAACATTTGGATGGGTATTGTAGGTGACAGGTTTCTAGGTCCTGTTGTTTTACCAAACCGATTAACAGGCGCTGCTTACCTCAACTTTCTGCAGAACACACTGTATGAGTTTTTGGAAGACATTCCTTTGAATCAGAGGCAACAAATGTGGTTCCAGCATGATGGTGCTCCAGCTCATTTTTCCATGGCCGTTAGAGAGCATTTACACCAAACTTTTCCACATAGATGGGTAGGAAGGGCCGGACCTGTTTTATGGCCTCCAAGATCGCCTGATCTGAACCCTCTAGATTTCTTTGTTTGGGGATATTTGAAGACATTAGTGTATGGTACTCCTGTAAATAGCCTGGAAGAGCTGCAGCTACGGATTAATCAAAAGTGTCAAGAAATCCAAACCAAGGAGGGTGTTTTCGAAAGAGTTCGAATATCGTTGAGACGAAGATGTCGTGCCTGCTTGGAAATGGACGGAGGGCACTTTGAACATCTTCTGTAACTTTGTTTTTTGTTTGTTAAAAGCTTCCTTTGTCGGTTTATTCCTAATAAAAAAAAATGTTTGAAAAACGAATAGTGGTCCATATCTCCGCAACCGTTACTTTGCGGACCCATGTTTATTGAGACTTTTCTGTTTATTTTGGTTCATACTATTACCTCCTGAAATATTTTACACTCTTTTTTTAACACCCTGTATGTGTATGCAGTACCGGACTGAACCGCCAGGCAACCTAGGGCCTTTTGTAGTTAGTAATCCCAGAAAAGCCTAGAGCCTATGAAAATTGTGCAAAATGGAAAATTTTTTGTTTAGGATTTTCTAAGATATCCCTCACGAGCTTTTTTGGGAAAGATTACTCTAAATTTAAAGAAATTGATAAGCATTTTAAATTTTTGTGTAAAATACTTATTGCTTTTTTTCTTAAACATCAATGAAATCAATATTTTAAAGAGTAAAAAATGAAAATGAAGTCATAAAAAATTGGCGTTTTGAAACAAATTTAAATTCACATAGTCTAACCCATCCTAACCTAACCCAACATAACTTAAAAACAAGTTATAAAGTATTAGTGTTTTAATACTCAATAATATTTGTTGATAGGTAAGTGAAAGTAAATTATTTATAGTTTATCATTGCAGTATGTGAATTTTATTTCAAGACCTCCAAATCTAGCATAACCTAACCTAAAAAAAAAATAAAAATAAAAAAGTTTGTTAACCTCAAAAACGAGGAAAATATTAGCAATTAGTAAAATGCCAATAATAAAATTATTTGATGATTTACTTCCATGAAAAGATTAATAATTCTAGATTTCTAAGCTGAGCATTAATAAAAAATAACATTTGCAAACCTGACCTCATCTAAATTTATCAGTTATTAGCCAGTTTTTCTTAAAGTATTCTAATTATTTCAATTTCAACCATTAAAAACAAAGGTTTGCTATGGATAAATTCATTGGCATGTAAAAATTACTCCAAAAACATTAAAAATATCTAATTTAGTCTTGCCTAACTATATAAATTTAGAATAATTTTTCTCAAAAGAGCTCGTGAGGGACCTTAGGAAATCTTTAAAGAAAGAATTTAAAAAATCCATTTTGGAGCATTTTTATAGGCTCAAGGCGTTTTTGGGACTGTTAACTACAAAAGACTCCAGTGTGCGGTGGTCCACGTTGATAGATGGAAGGAGCCAAATGGAAATAGCGATAAAACTCCAAAATTAGAATTCAAGTAAAACAAGGAGAGTACGCTAACTATAAACTCAGACTCTTTTGGCAAAATATTTCTGATTATTATCTATTAAAAATATACCTTTCAAACCATATATCACTGAGTAAGGAAGCATTCCATCCAAATATGTAAAAATATACAAAGTTTTCTGTCGAAAAATATATGTTTGGTTTCTATCTAATGCAACACGTAATTGTTTTTCTAAGAAATTTTTGAAATCACATGAAAATTTGCCCCAACTTTTGCCCACACCATTTTTTTTCTAAGTACGAAGGTAAAAAAGATGTGTTGAAGATTTTGTGATTTTAGCATTCTCAAAAAAATCTTAAGTCGTTAAATTAAAGAACAGTGAACATTCAAATTCCAGTGTTTCGTAAACAATGAACCCTGTAATAATACTAAACTACTAAACATAAACTACTAAAGTACTAGTACTAAAAATAATAAAACAAACATTTCATCTAAAAAACAATACATTATATAAAAGGATGTCCATTTATAATACCCTTTCATTTCCCTTCCATCTGCGCTTCTATTTTTTATATTGAAATTACAGAAAACATTCCGATATGGTAATGGACATAATAATAGTCGTTAATGTATTAGGACCAATAAGGACCTTTGATTTAGTGCCACTTCTTTTAGATGTTATGTTTATTTTACGGCTCAATTTCACTTAACGTCCACTTTTATTTCCTACCGCTGCTGATTCATTCTGTTATAGCAGACGCTACACGTGAAGAAATTTGATGAAATTAGTATGAAAAGCTAGATTTTTCGTACGAAAATGAGTGTAAAACTGCATTTTACTGTGAGGTCGACGATAGAACTGTTTTCTTTTTAATTTTAACTTTGTCATATGAAGCCAAAAAACATGTGTAGTCTGGCACCGTGTACATTATTGAATTGAGTATAAAATATCTTAAATTTCACTAACGTTTGTTTTTCACTCTCGTTTTGTATGGAGGGTCTGCTATTAGCTAAGTAGTATACAATAGTCTCAAACACACAGTAAACATCTAAACTGTAACCAAGTTATTTGGGAATAGGGTCAATATAATTTTCGAACAGAGTGAACAGCGAACTAAAATAATGTTTTGTATAATCCCCCCTTTACATGTTTACCTCAAATTATCTTAAAAGGTTTTTAATTCGGTTAACATGAGGATTTTCGAAAGTACAAACGCTCAAACAACGCCTAAACATGGAAGTTATCAGAGTTCATAATGGCTCTCTTTCTCAAATCATCCGTCTACAAAACGTTATTAACAAAGCTTGAAATTTCTTGGATTTTAGCTAACAGCCATCTTGAGCATGAAAATAGTACGCGTACAAATGATAACGTAGAAATGATCTCCAAGTAGTTGTAGAAGGAATTTCCAGTTGCCGATTAGCTTGTTGTAGGTATGTTATTAAAAAGCATTTAAAATTTTGCCCTTTTTCTTTATTCATTTCGGGGCTGTTTGACGTTAATTTGTTCGCATTTTCTTGCACCAAATTTCTCTGGTAATAGCGATGAATATCAACAAATAGAGGATTGAGTTCCGTCTACAGAAGAAGAAACTTTAAGAAATCGTCTTTGATACTTCCTCATTGCTTCTTTAGCATTTCCATGGCATTATCCATAAATAAGATGAATGTCGGCATATTATTTTTTGTTAGGTATATTTAAAGAGTATATTGGTATTTTAATATGTCAACTCAACAGTAGTTACGATGTGATAATGACCGTTACATAAATTCTTCATGGTAACCAAGCAAGTTTTTGCTCTTTCCATTTTCCTATAATGGCGACCAACCATCTGTTCTGGGTCACCCTGTATATGTTACAAATTTTCCCACATTCAAGATTTGAATCACCCCCGTGATACATCGACGTAATTTATTTTGCTTTTTTGAAATCCGAAAAGACTTATTCACTTGTTTTGACACTAATCCTTAACCGCATTTGGTGTGACTCATTATATTTTCCTTTTCAGGTTCATGTGGTTCATGATCAAGGTCACATTCGGAGAACACGACCGCTGCAACGATAACAAAAGGCCAGAATCCAGATTTGTCCTTAGGGCTATCGCTGGCGCCTTCAGCTTTCTTAACTTCGACAACGACATCGCGCTGTTGAGGCTGAACGACAGAGTACCCATCACGCAATTCATCAAACCCATTTGTTTGCCGAAGCTTAAAGGTCAGTGTTAAGGCACTCATCAATTCAGTGAATTGCTTGCAATCATTTATAGTCCGTAAAGCATTAATTCTATAGTCTATATCTATAGGTAGGTACGTAGCTGCGAAGGTTCAGAGGAAATATTAGATATTTTGGGAAGGTGAAGTAACAATTATTCCAAGTAGAAAAGTTTCTGCAGGTGAATGTTCAGTAGAGTTTGCTATAAACAATAGTAATGAACAATAAAAATTATTTCTACCACCATTTACTGATGAAAAATACAAATATTTATACAGGGTGTCCTGAGTTGCAGATGGCAAAATTTTTCTATTGCTAGATTACTCCAAAATAAGAGAAACTTATGTACTGACTTTAAATTTTCTGATAGGTACCTACCTAATAAAAATTGAAAAAAAAATGGTATAACCATGATTTTTTAGCTTCCGACGGTAAATTTCTAAAAAAACTATAAAACTATAGCTTGTTTACGGAATAAAATAGGAGACATATTTTCATTCTTACAAACAACAACCGTAATTAAATGCACCTATCCAATTTCAAAAATATTCTCCCAGCATTTCCACCACTGTCTGACAAATTTCTGTACCATTTCAGCAAAATTTTGCTCAAAACTCTGTTAACTGTAATCAATTGATCCTTGTACTTTAACCAGTGCGTAAAAAGTAAAGTATAACTGCAACTCCACATTTACATAGAGGAATATTTGCTACTGAACATCATTATGTTTCAACTTTTCCTAAAGCAGTTTGTTTTTCCATATCACCTAAAATCTTTAGATGCGATTATTTGCAAACAGGGGTAAACCGATTGTACAACTCCTTCGGTTTCCGTATTTGCTTAAGCGTTTTCCCACATTCAACTAAAAATTTATTATTTGCGGGCAGATATTTATTTGAGTCTGTTGTATTTATCATATGTGTCAAATTCCCGAATATTATATAGATATTCATATAGAAATAACTCCAGTGTGATGCTACGATTTATGTTGATTTATAACTAAATATACCGTGTATTAAATATTCATACACAAACAGGTATGTAGTTGATATAAGGGACGTTGTATTTGTGAACAAATGCTGAAAAGTAAGAAAGATTGAGTCTGGAAAACGTTCATTGAAGCATGTTTGTTTTGATCAAAAAAAGTATACATTATTGACAATAAATTAGAAAATATTTTGTCTCTCCAAACACGCACGCGGGTGTCTTTGACGCTAAGGAAGATGCCTACAAACTTATATATCTTTTTTTCTTGACAAGGTTATATTTTTTTCCGATTTACGTGAGAAATAACGCGAGTTAGTCATAATTTGGGACATCGTAATGGGTTCAGTCACCAAACAAGTTTCAATCGAAGGAGACCTTGATTTATTGAAGCAGCATACCCAGATTAATTTTCATGCAAATGAAATTATTTTTACAATTTATGGTTAAATTAAAACCTAATAAAATACATGCCGATTAAAAAATAGTTCCTAACTTTAATGACCAAAATTACTGTCAAAACTAACTAATAACGTTCATTATTTAAAACACACTATTTTTTGTTATTAGTACAAAATTTTAATTAAATTCTGCTGACAATATTTCGAATATATTATGAAAAAATCATTCTACAGAAATAAAAAACTACATTTAGGTCATATCTTAAATATTAAATGCAAACATATTTTTATTTAATATTAAAGCAAAAGGTGAAAGTTTAAAAAATAAAATCAAAGTGTCTGAATGTTTTATCCCACCCTATACAATATAGTTTTATTTTATCAAATTTGTTCCAACATTCAAAAGTGTATATACAGTTTGTTAAGTATTATTAACTATATGACTTTGCAGTTTCTACATATATACAGGGTGTCATATTTCAAGAGATCAGTTTTCTTCTACTCTCACCTCTATTTCTCCCAAAAACTGTATAGTATGTAATTTAAAAATGTGTACATTTTATACTGAATGAGTACACAATATTTGGTCTACACAATTTTTACAAAATTATAGGTAAACTAGAACCAATACACAATCACTGACTATTAACGATTTTAAACTATCTACACCACTGTTTATATAATTTCATTTCATGAACGGTACAATTTTTGAAAACATTAATAAAAACACACACAAATCTTCCCTAATTGACATTGGCTTGCATTTTTTAAACAAACGCATGCCGCGTCACGCCGACTAGTAGGCTACTAGATCAATTTACCTCCTACTACTAATCAGTAAAGAATAAAGATCATAGGCGAAGGTAGATAGTAATTAATTTATTGCAAAGAAAATAAATACAAATAAATTGGAAAGCCGCTTATACAAAATCCATTTTTTAGACAATTTATACACTGGGAAAGTAGCTACAGCGGCTGGATGGGGGACGTTGAAGGAAGACGGAAAACCGTCCTGTATTTTACAAAAAGTAGAAGTTCCCGTCATTAGTAATGAAGAATGCAGGAATACGAATTATTCCGCCAAAATGATCTCAGATAACATGCTGTGTGCTGGATATCCCCAAGTTGGAAAAAAAGACTCTTGCCAGGTAATAATCGATTGTTAATACTTTTTCAATCTTCAGGTCTATTGAAATTTGTTATTTATGCTAATTTTTTATTTCAGGGAGATAGTGGAGGTCCACTCATTACAAAGAAAAATGATTCTAGATATGAATTAATCGGTAAGTCCACATCTAACTTACCTTTAACTCTACAAATATTTTGAATAGGTATTTATATTCTAATAATTTCAATAGTCTTTTTCATAAAATGTAAATAGAAAATTTAATGCACTGGGTTATAAAAATATTTATTGTCCCAATATTCAATATTGTCAAAATAATAAAAATATGAAAATTTAATTTAATCTTGTCTTCATCCAGTTACTTTGTTGAACCAACTAAAAGTTGACAACAAATTTTTTTTTCCCGTTCTTAAATAAATATGCTTTTATCTTTTAAGAAAACTTTATAGCAGCAGATTAAAAAACATATCCGAATAGAAATTTTATTACAGAAGTACGTTTGATATCTTTATTACAAATTTACAAAAAAAATGCGACGTCATCGGTAAGTAAACTGGCCGCTCCACATTAGAAAACGATGTCGGTCCTACGACTTCTTAAAAATATTTATTATTTTTAGTTTACATACGATACGATAACTATACTGATTTAGTGACTGGTTTCCATTCTGTTATGTAGGTATACCTAAATATGCACCTATGTAGCAAAATAATTAAGTCTGTGTAGGTATATTTAATTTTTACGACGTTTAGTTCAAGTGAGCTTTCCGCGCGTAGCATAATATTATTTACTACTTAAATAATATTTTGAATCTAAATTTGTTATTTTAAATTATCATTAGTTTTTAGTTTATTAAAAATTCTCAAAAATATTTGTAACATGACCGAACAAAGTTATGCTAAAGCCTAATCAGACAATTTACTGAATTCCATGATGATTGCGGATTTTTTTTCGAAAAGCATTTTATTTTCTTCGGCAGAAATAAGGGGAATAAAAGCAAACAGGTATGAGAATGTGATTTATAGGTATCTACATAAATTTATTTTAAAATACATTTTTTCTGGCGTTTTTATTGATGTATTTTCACACATCGGTACAATGCATCAGTAATAGTATGGTTTAGAGGGATTTGCCATATTTATAAGTTTAACTTAAAAAATTTACAGTATATATAAGGTATCGTACTGCTTATTGACACCACTCCACACATTTAATAACCAAAGCAGTCAGCTGCACTGTCGAAAGGCGTATATGTCGCGTTTGCCATTTACTTACCGATGACGTCAACCTATTAAAACTTTAGTATCTAATAACTTTTTAAAAATAAATTAATATAACAAAACCTTTACACATTGTTTGTAGTATTCAGTGTAGATACGAAAACTATTAAAATATTTTTTTCTGCAAGAGGCCTATTGAGTAAATTATGAATACATATTTGTAATATTTTCCATCTGCTTTTTTAAGAAAATAGAAATTTAAAACAGGCAATAGGAAACACAATAGTTTTGAATTTTTAATAAACTTAAGTACATATGAAGGAAAATAATGCTTATCTGAACAATTCTAAGCTTTCGATACATCTACTGCGTTCTTATTTTTAGGATTAATAAGTCATTCTTCACGTTTTTTTTAATCAAAAATTTGATTTAAGTATTTGGTAATATTTTTTCAGAAAAATTCTTACAAATGATCATAATTTTCTTAATAACAAAATTCATACTATGCAAAAAAAATTAGAAATACAAAAAACGCAAGAGAACAAATAAGAGCAAAAGTTGTAGGTTAGCTGCAGAAGAATATCTGCAATATATTTCTGCAAATACAATTGCTTTTGGTTACTGTCTCAAATAATATTCATATCAGAGAACATGGTATAGTGTTCTCTGTTCATATGCAAACACTGGCATATTAAACTTCATTTAAATTGGAAAAATTATTTCATAAATTTTTTTAATTCAAGCTGATGTCCTATTTTTTTATTAAAACAAGTGGATTTTTCGCAGGTGTGGTGTCTTGGGGAAATGGATGTGCCAGACCGGGTTATCCAGGGGTGTACACAAGGATAACAAGGTATCTGGATTGGATTTTGGAAAACTCTAAAGATGGATGCTTCTGCAAAGACTGAGAGTTAAGATGATGTTTTTCAAAATTTGTGATATGTTTTTAGTAAATTCTTTGCGTTTTGATTGATTTCTGTGCAATCTCCTCTCAGATGTTAATATTTATATTGTATCAGTAAGTATAGTTTACTTTTATATTATATTTTTTTATACCTATTACTCTTAAATTACAACAACACTAGTAAGTTAATAATAAGTACTTTTATGTTACTTTTCTCAATGTTAGGTAAAATAAATGTTTAGATATATTTTTTAAATTATAAGATAAGTTATAATAAAACCAAATTGTATTTTCAATATGTTTATTGAATTTATTAAACAATGACTAGATACTGACTTGAGGCATGACTGATAATTTTTACACATGGCTTTATAGTTGGTAAAAATTTGTGAGAACTTAAAAATAGTCGTTTTTCTGTGTTGTGCATGTGCGAATATTTATACCTATGTTGTTAAGAAAACACCAAAAATATACAAAATTGCACTAAACATGCATCACAACAGATTTCTAACTATAAGTCGGATAAAATTATCGCCACCTTTTTCGTTTCCCAGCTATTAAAAGCATTATTTATATCAGCTTTACGAGTAAACAAATTACCACCAATTTGAGTCACCAAAGAACAAAAGTGTTCTTATTATTTTTTAACCAACTTGTAGCAAGAAAAGAAGTGATCCAACATACTGGTTCAATCGTATATTATGTAATGATTATGTGGTTAAGTTTTAAAAATATTTTACACATATATACATTTTTATTTGATTTTCCAATATCTAGTGTTCAATTCATGGCTATTGTACCAAAACTATAATTTTTAATAAATATGTAACTGTACAGGGTGAGCCAATTGTCGCACTTCTGAGAGTTTTTTGAATGTCAAAACCACGTCTTAATTTGTTTAAGAAATACAGAACTATTCTCATTTTTTGTCAATTTTATGATGTTGAGTTCCAACTATCCCAATTACAGCAAAAATTATTTTTTATAATTCAAATGTTTTATGACACAATTTAGTGTGAGACTATGGTTTCATCAACACATGAAATACTCATATATCAGAAATAATCTGTAAGAGATAAATTATTTATTGTCTTTATAGCTCAAAAATAAATAAATAAATAAATAAATATCACCTAACAAATTTTATGCAGTTTATAAAAATCAAAAAATACATAGTATAGGTCAGAAAATATAGATACGGACGCGACTTTTTGTTTCGGCAAGCTGAATTTATCACTATAGATGCTAAATATTATGTACAATAACGTATTAGTTTTCACAGTCATAAAAATGGGGGGGAAAGATTGTTTACAGGGTGGTTAATTGTATAATTTTTACGTAAATTCACGTTTTTCGCTTATAACTTTTTTTGCGTTCATTTCCGTCAAAAGACCTACAAAACTAGCCCTCGAGCGTCAAAAAATATTGATTAGATCAAAAGTTATAAACAGAAGAAGTTTATTTATGACTTTTGAATTAAACATTTACAAACCGAGTTATTATTACCAGAACGATTTGGCATCGCATCCTCTCATTCCTTATCACTGTCTAATAACTCGCACGAAATCTGGAATCGGTAAATTGAATAGCTTACAAGTTATAAACAAATTAACTAATTATTAGTCTGGACGATCCCGAGCATCTAATTTTTTCATGGTAGATTTCATAATATTACATTGAAATATATCTTTTTTTTTAATTTCTATTTGCAACGGGGATTTATTTTTTATTTTTTAGCCTTTGTTGTAAAATGAAATATACGACGCACGCGCGTGATATAGTTATATATTATACATATTCGGAAAGCCTATGAAAAGAGCTTTAAGTTAAAAAAAAATCGTCAAGATTCATTGAGAAACAACGGAGGTACAGACTGTCAAAGTTGACGGCCTATTGTTAAACAAATTAAGTTGGTAGTGGCAAAAAAATACTGTCATAATCGGCAACCCGAGTACTTTCCCAGATAAAAATATTTTATTCGTAGAAGTATGTTAAGTGCATAAGAAATATTGTTAAAAGTCAGTGGGTCGATTGATTTTTCGGCGAGCCGTGGCGTGCTGGAAGGGTGGGGGAAACAAACGACAGCGAGTCCGAAGAAAATGACGATAATATTCATAGTCCTGACGTTAAAAAAGCAAATTTCGTTTTAAAATAATATATTTGACAGTCTGTAACTCCGTTATTTTTCAACGAATCTTGACGATTTTTTTTTTAACTTAAAGCTCTTTTCATAAACTTTCCGATTATTTAATAATATATCACGCGCGTGCATCGTATATTTTATTTTGCAACAGGCTAAAAAAAAAATTTCAGGTTGCAAATTTGAAATTTAAAAAAATATTATAGATTTCAATGTAGTATTATGAAATCTAACATGAAAAAAATCAGTGCGATTGTGGAAGATGCTCGGGATCGTCAAGACTAATGATTAGTTAATTTGTTTATAAGGCCATAACTTGTAAACTATTCAATTTACCGATTCCAGATTTCGTCTGAGTTATTAGACAGTGATAAGGAATGAGAGGATGCTATGCCAAAACGTTCTGGTAATAATAACGCAGTTTATAAATGTTTAATTTAAAAGTCATAAATAAACTTCTTCTGTTTATAACTTTTGATCTAATTAATATTTTTTGACGATCGAGGGCTAGTTTTGTAGGTCTTTTGAAGACGAAAAAGTACTTTATTGTTTTCTCGTGGAAATGAACAGAAAAAAGTTATAAGCGACAAAACGTGAATTTACGTAAAAATTATACAATTAACCAACCTGTAAACAATCTTCCCCCCATTTTTATGACTGTGGGAACTAATATATTGTACATAATATTTAGCATCTATAGTGATAAATTCAGCTTGGTCATTTCCCAGCTTTGTATCCTGGCCTAAGTAATTTGGGTTGTAATTGAAAAATTGTAGGTTACAGAAAAATATTGCATATACTGAATTCAATGCAAATTTCATAAAAGAAAAAATCACAAACAAAAAAGTTATTGGACATGACATAAAATAACCAATAATGAGAAAAACCTTGTACCTCTAAAATAAATTTAAATCGAGATGAGGTTTTCATTGTTCAACTTTTCTTGAAAATCAAGCTAGTGATATTTTAACGACTCTTTATCTACCTTGTCAGGAAAATACCGAAAAGAAACCCGCCAAGTATTGTAATTGGCCCACTCTGAAAGAAAATTGATATTGTAGAAAATAATACAAAAATTCGAGTGAGAATATTAATTATACTTAACACCACTATCCAATTAAATTGATTGTCGCGAAGTATCATCATCAATTTGATTTTTTTTTACCTATTGTATAGGTATTCAAAATTTAGAGTTTTATTCAAATTAGTTTTATTCAATTTAATTGAGTTACTAGTATTTCCAACTATTCGTTTGGAAATTAACAGACTAGATACAGTAAACTCAGTACATTTAGTAAATTTAGTAGCGGTAACATTATATTTAGTTGAGGTAAAATCTTTGGATTTACATTTATCTTTTATATGGCACAGATTAGTTACCCTTTTTATTATTTGTCTCGATCTCTGCATCAGTATTAGGATGTAAATTTTCTACAACTTCTTTGTTCTGCTTGGTATCTTCTTCTGATACTGGTAATGGATTATCATTTGTAGATAAGACCGAATTATTATTATCATTATCTTCGTTTTTGTTTGATATGATAATTTCTTTAGAATTATTATCCCCTTCAACTATCAAGGTGCCACTATTTTCATCTTTTGATTTGGTTTCTTCTTTAATTGTTTGTACTGTACTCTTATCTCCATCATGGTGTTTAATTGCTAGGCTATCATCAAAATTTTTTATATTAATCATCGCTTCTGCTAATTTAGCAGTATTATCATCATTGTCAATGGTTTTATTCAATTGAAGATCAGATTTTTCATCATTATTGTTATCTGATGTACCACTATTCTTTTCCGACTTCAATTTTTCATCAGTTCCTTCAGCAGTTTCTTTCACAGTTTCTGCTTCACTATTTTGTGACTCTACTTCTCCATTATCCGATTCTTCATTTTGATCCGACTGTTCATTCTGTTCAGATATCTTATTATCAAGACTATCCTGTGATTCATCATCTGTTTCCTCATCTTGATCAGACAAAAGTTCTCCATTGTCTTCATCGGTATTTATATTATCAGACCTTTCTGACTCAGAGTCTGAACTATCAGATCTACGTTTTTCAGTTAACTTTCTTTTTATGGCAACCATGCCTAAATAAAATACAAAATATATAGAACACTTTCAAATTTCTGATAGTTCTGCATTGTAAAATATTTAGTAAATCTATTAAAATAATTCAGAACTCAGTTTAATCATAACTACTCACATTTAAGCGTCTGAATAAGCATGGTTTTATTCTTTGGTTTCCTCAAAGACATCATTCTAAAAATTAAATTTAAAACACTAATAATAATAGATCCATATAGACAAATTCAAGGCTTGTTAAAATTGATAATGCATATTCAACTATTCAATAAATATTTTCAGAAAATGACTTTTACACCCTCTTTAAAGAAAATAATTTTAAAGCTTATTTTTAATAGAAGAGACATTAAATATAATGCAAAAATAAATTCTGATAAACCTCCATAGTTAACAGATTGTGTACCGAGTCTCATTTAAAAGAGGCTTTGAAATATAGGTGTATTTTCTGGACCTGCTAAAATTATACAAGAATTTTAAAATTAAACATTCCTCTACTTACTTGGTTTGTCTAGCTTTTATTTCCCTTTTTATAATTTGTAAATTATACGAAATATCATCCCTTGGTTTGAACAAGGAACATTCAAGAAGTCCAATAGAGCACTGTAAGAAATTGTCACCTTCGATTTCTTCTTGATGATAAAACCAATGATCCAAAAATTTGAACAAGATCTAAAATATAATCAATTTATGGCTCCTTGCATATATCGCCATGGTTAAATGCGGAATAATCAGTGATACCTAACTATACTCCGCGGTAGAAATTATAGAGAGTGACTCATCGCTAGCTTTTGGACTAGTAAGGGGGATGAAGCGTGCCGGGAACGAAAATCCATTGGCGTGTCTGCGTAAAAGGCAACAAGATATAGAAAATATTGAAAAAAGATAATAAAACATAACATCTAATTTTTTTTACGGTTTGCTATAACTGGCACTTTGATCCATTTTAATTATTACAGCATTTTAAAACGTTCCAGTTGTGTTTTTTTTAATTTATAAGTTTATTATAGCCATGGAATTAGACCCCTCGTCCATGCTTATGCTATGACATTTCTCAGGATGGATAAATCAAGTCCGTTTACACCCACTAAAAAAGAATTTTCCTATTCCCTACCAAGTGCAAAAGACAGAGATAGAATATACAGGGTAGGAAAGTACCGATTGTCTATCTAAAGTTACATGAGAGCGATAAAGTAAGCCATAGAAATCCATGCGATAGAGAAGGATGGCTATAATGAAGGCGTCTCATAGTCACCGCCCATTTCGCCTTTCCACAAATAAGAAGTGGGTCTTGGCGTGAATAGGCGTGACTATTAGACGCCTTCACTATACCCATCCTTGTTTATCACATGGATTTCTATGGCTTACTTTATCGCTCTCACGTAACTTCAGATACCGGGTAGGAAAGTACCGATGGTCTATCTGAAGTTACGTGAGAGCGATAAAGTAAGCCATAGAAATCCATGTGATAGACAAGGATGGGTATAGTGAAGGCGTCTAATTGTCACCGCCCATTTCGCCCTTCCACAAATAAGAAATGGATCTTATTTGTGGAAGGGCGAAACGGGCGGTGACTATGAGACGCCTTCATTATAGTCATCCTTCTCTATCGCATGGACTTCTATGGCTTACTTTATCTCTCTCATGTAACTTCAGGTAGACCATTGGTACTTTCCTACCCGGTAGACTATCGGTACTTTCCTAGTCTGTAGATCGATGTTCAGTGTAACTCAGTCTATAGATTCTGTCGATGTGCATAGCGAGCGGCACAAAGATAAATAATATTGAACCGTATAAAAATCATTTTATATTTTATACGCATTATGGTAATAGTGTTTTTATATTATGTCTGAATCACTCTCTATAATTTCGACCGCGGAGTATAGTGAAAATTAAAGTGGTGATATTTTGAAAATGAATCATTACATGATTTCTAAGCCTACATTGAGAACTTTTATGATGAACAGATTTCAAACCAAATTTGCGAAATGAAAAATTAAAATAGGGTGGCTTACTACTGGAGTAAAAGTAGCATAAAAATATGCATTATTTCGGAATAATTAGCAGAGCCTTGGATTTTCATAAAACCTTTTGCGATTGCCTTGAAATGGCTTATAGAAAAAAGTTATAAACTTATATTTGTACGCTAATTATTATTAAATTGTTTAAACAATAAAAAATGGTTTTTCAGATTATTTTAAATAAATCAAAAAATTTCAAACCAATTTTAAACAAATTGATACTATAGGGGTTTTCGAGGTCACTGAATAATATAATGTTAAAAAATAAAAATTGAAAATGGCTGATCCAATATGACCCACTTTTTTAAACAATTTATTAAAAATTGACAATTTTCAAAGCAATTTTAATCAAATTGATATTATAGGGGTTTCCAAAGTCGCTGAACAAGAATATTATATCACAAAATTCAAAATGGCTGAATAAAAAATTTATTTAAAAATTACAAATTTCAAAGTAAATTTAGTTAAATTGACATTATAGGGGTTTTTGAGGCCTCTGTACAAGAATATTATATCAGAAAATGAAAATTCAAAATGGCTGATCCAATATGGCCGATTTTTTTAAACAATTTATTTAAAAATTACAAAGCAATTTTACTCATATTGATATTTTTAGGATTTTCAGATCATTGAACAAATATAAAATGAAATCAACTCGTTAAATTTTAAAAAAAAATTGGGTATGATGTTTAGGGTCCTGCAAAAAGTCAACACTGGGATTCTAAATTAACAAATTTATTAAATATGAAAAAGTATTTGCATATTAAAAATAGAAATATAAAAAAATAATATTCAATTTTCATTCTCTTGAATCATTGTAAGTTCTGCGGCAATTGGTCTGATTCTCATTCTTCTTTGAAAAATGCTTGGCAATTGAGAGTTGAGACAATCAATCCCGGAACAATTACATCATGCTATGGTGCAAAGTAGACTCGCCTTCCGGCAACCGCAATTATTAGCACAGCCACTTTTGCATCCGCAAAAAATAATTTTGAGAAGTTCACTTGCTGCTGGATCTTGAGTCATAAAAGTTGGAGTGATAGGTACCCGAATCCTCTCATTTCCAACCCCAGTCTATCTCTTTCTAATATTCAAAAATAATTCTCGAATCACGAGAATGAATTACATTACCAGATAAACTTCTACTACATAATTTCGTCATGAAAAAATATAGGTAATACTGAATCTTGTGGCAATTTATTGAAAAACCGTATTTTTTGTATTTTATACAATATAGTACCAACATTTTTTTTTGTTGATTATACTTTTTTTTAACTTTATTAAAATTTATACAAATTTCATCGTTTTAGCACAAAAATGTTTTTTTTGTTTTTTTAAATTTTATTATAAATTCAACGTTTTTAATAAAACAAAATGGACCATCTTAAAATACAGTTTTCAAACTTCAAAAAATGCTCCTGTAAAGTTGCAATATCATATTTTCAAATAAAGTTTTTGTGGCATTTGAAACGTGACCTAAAAAATCAAATTTGCCTTTTTTTATATTATTATTTTATATTTCGTGTTGTATTTTTCGAATTAAAATTTTAAAATTTTTTTTATATCACTCACTCTGTTAAATGCTATTTCAAGAGTAATCTCTGAAAGGTTTAGATTTTTATCTTAAACATTAAAAAATGGCAGATCTTTAATAAATTTTGTAGAAAATTCTGTTACGTAACTTTATTTACACACTATTTCCCGTTCTTTCGATTGGTGCATTTAGTTTTAAAAAATGAATTTGTTAAGATATACAATAAACAATGGAATTCTGCAACTAAATTTGTTAAATAAATAATCAAGCGTACACTCTATGGTTGATCACTTTTTATATGTTGTTCCTAACACCCTCACAAGTCTATCCTCAAAAGTTAACCGATCTGCTTATTTTTCCGAAGTCAAAATCTTATTTTACTCCACTATACTCTGAGATCTCAGAAATTAATTAAATGCATCATTTAATTTTGCAAAATCAACTGCATCAACTTTTATATGTCTATTGCAAAATTATGTGTTTCTTCAAAGTGATTTATTTAAATTTTAGTTTGATATTAACATTCCATTTTGCAAAGTTCATAAAACTGTAAACTGTAACTAAGAAAAATTAAAATTTCGTGAAAAATAAGAAAACCCTGTTTTTATCTATCAGTTGATTATGGAAAAGAAATATCATGTAAATATATATGTCCAAGCTTTTTTGAGATCTTAGGGTTTGCCATGCCTATTTTAACTTTTTTTTGCAAATTTCATTCCAATTTTTTTTTCCACCAAAGTTCTCTGCTAAAAAACGATATAGATCTGACGCTTCATTGGGATAATAATGTACATATTAACATCGATTATGACCAGAAAATACAGGTTTTGTCATCGTAATTAACATAAAATTTTATGGCAGAAATAACAGTTGCTTGAATTGGAACATGATTCATTCCATGCAAAAAGTGGTAATAATACTTAACAGCTTGCAAAAAAATATTTCAATTTCTACTGTACTTATTTCTAAGTTTTCTTTTTATAATTTCTAGTTTTTCAGTGTGTGAGGTATAACAGGAATTAAACCAAATTTAGGTACAAACTTAATACATACTAATTTTAAATTTAAACCAAAGCAATAAAACACTTAGTTAACTGCAAAATATTTCTCAATATACTCACCGACTGATAAATTTCTATAAGCAGCCATAAAACCAAATTAAAAAACAAAAATAGCAACAGAATATTCGGATAATCGGACAATATCTTCAGTCCCAAAGGAACGATAAATGTTAGTGGTATCACAATGATGTATACTGCAAAGCTAAAAAATATTTCTAAATCAATAAGTGATCTGTTAACAATCATAAAAAAAAAACAAAAAAATATTGGAAAAAATTATATTTGTATGTTATTAACAGGGCTGTCAGAGCAAGCCGCAATTCAATGGCATGCCAAGCGGTCAACCGAGCCATACATGAGCCACTGCCTTAGAATGCTTTTAATGTTCACGTCACGTTAGTATACTGTAGCCATTGATACTGTGCGGATGTTACGTAATTAATTCCTATCCGTTGGTGTTTATGATGGTGTATTGTAGACATTTTAATTTGTTGGTTTTTAATAAATAGTGCATACGCCTATGTCCCACGGCTCAATCCTGACAGCCCTAGTTATTAATGTTTACTTACCATATTGCATAAGTCATAAAATACACAAGACCAACAAAGAATTTAGATAAAATACTGTCTTGAGTTGAGGACATAAAACAACATCTTGTAAATTCAACTGCTACCTGAGCTATACCAACTAAAGCAGTAAATGTGAATGAAATCTCGACGACTCTAAATAAAACATTTATTAGGTAAAACAGGTATAGATTTTTTTGCAAATCATACCATACCTGAGTGTATAGGAAGCTAGAAGAAATAAAAATAAAAATAAATAACTGAACATATTAAGAAAATATTCTTTGGCTAATCCTTCCCATAGAGAGCTGTGCAGAAAAAATGTTGAAATTAGAGTATAGCCTATCACCACTTGCGATGGCAAATTGCTGTTTGATGGCACATGCATTTTTTTGAAGTTAAATAATTCTACTTCATTTTGGGCTAGAGCTGCACCACTGTAAATCACTGCTGTACCATAAAAACCTAAATACCAGAGACTATTCCTCAGTCTTAATCGAACATACTCTCTGTATCGTAATTTCTTAAGAAATGCCTAAAATGATAACCAGTAATAATATAAATTATATTACCATTCGTGTTATGTAGATTTAAAAATCTTACGTCAATTAGTTTATCAAAAATTATGTGTAAAACACACCATAATACAAACACCCATGTAGCTCCATTGAATAAAGCATTGTTATAGTAGTCGCCTATGTAATTTTTTAATAGCTTTGGGATACAGGTTACTTCAGTTTTCAAAAATAAGTTTATATAAGACGTCATTTTTGAAGAACTATAATAAAAAAAATGAGGTTAGAACATTGTGGATAATATTATTTGCTCATAGTATACTTACTCTGGTGACTTTTCCTTAAATTTATTTATGAACATACCTATTCTTTATAATTACGTTTCATTTTAGTAAACGTCTTTATAGTCAAAATACATTTCTATTTTAAGAATAATATCTAACCAAAATAATGAACATTGAACATCATCATAGCACATATCATAGTTTCGTTTCCCCTTCTGTTAGTTCTGTGTGTTTGACAGGCAACCTACTATACAAGTAGTCTGTAATAAGAGCGGACTACAGTACTCGTGTCAGCAAAATTTTTATAAAAAAAGGAATTACTATCTCTTTCAAAATCCATATAAACTATTTCTTTTTTTCATCGTTAAAAAAATTGTCATTTTACTGAGGAATAAAAGTAAATAATTAATTATAACGAAAAATGAAGCTCTTTTAGGGTAATTAGATCGCATACATAATTAAAAGTGTTTTATTATGCCATAGGCACTGGATTTATAGAACATAGAATTTTAGTATGGTACAACCTATTTTTCCCAACAGATAATACCTCCTATATTCCTAGATAAATAGGTGTTAATTCCTTAAAAAATTATTATAAACAAACAATAATTTTACAATTACTCGAGGTATATTTTTAAAATTTTGCAATAAATAATTATAAATTTTAATTTTGGGTTATTTATCTGTATCTGTATCTATTACATTTATATATGAGTATATTTTTTAATTAACAATTATTAATAATTTAATAATAAAATATATCCTTATTTACCTGCAGTATTTACTTTTTGATGTACAAATGTTATTGAAAATAGGTAGGTACGTTAGTTAGACGCAGTAAGAATGTGTTAACAAAACTTATTAAATGTCACAGCTTCTTTGAATTATTACATAAATAAAATTCTGAGAATAATTTTGTGAACAATAAATAATATCTTTCATTTATTTTCCTTTTGGAAATCCACAGAAACAATCATAAAAGAAAATAGTATTTATTCATTCAAATTCAAATAGTTTTTAATACATTTAGCGAGAAAAGATGAGTTCACAGTATGATTGAAATAGGTACACATTCGTTTTTTTAACGACGCACCCTACACAGTGGCACCCTAAAAATCTAAAATTTCAATAAACTCTGCCTCAGCGTTGATATTGGGCCTCCTTTTCACTGCGGAGTGGTCTACAAAATTAATAATTACTATTTACTCTGTTTGTAAAAAGACTGTTATTTTATATGTTGTCCACTAGAGATGTTTAAATTTTGTTACATATTTTGTGGATAAGTTAACGTTACATAGACGCCAGTGGCGGTTGGTGATGAAAAAATTAAAGTAATCATATTTTGTTAATAAAACGTGAAATCCACACTGTTGTTTGTGTATGTATAATGATCTTTAGATCCACTGATGACAAAAAAATTTAAACATAACAGCCTCTCATCAGATCTCGAAAAGGATTGCATGTGTATGTGTAAACTACCTGTTTTTTTTTTCATAATCAACTGATAGATACAAAAGATTTTTTCTTATCTTATATATAAAATTCTCGTGTCACAATGTTCGTTCCCGTACTCCTCCGAAACGGCTTGACCGATTCTCATGAAATTTTGTGAGCATATGGAGTAGGTCTGAGAATCGGCCAACATCTATTTTTCATACCCCTAAATGTTAAGGGTGGTCCACCCCAAAATTTTTTTTTTATTTTTTGGACAAAATTTTCTGTTTTTATTTTTTCATGGTTTAGCATTGAAAAATACATACAGTTCTAAATTTTCACCCTTATACGATCAACCCCTGATTTTTAATCGCGATTTTTATATTATTTTGTTCCATCCACAGTTCCACAAGATGGCAACACAACGTTTGCCGGGTCAGCTAGTTTTTCAATAAATTTTATTTTCTTAAAGTTATACCCTAGCATCATAAAATTTAAAAAATGGAATGATAATTTCTTTAACAGTAAAAAAATCCTTATTATTTCTATCAGTTGATTATGAAAAAAATATTTTGCACATGTATGTGCAGATCATTACAAGATCCTAGGAGACTACCCCAAAAAAGTTCTCTGTATGAACGTAAAAAAAACAATATTAATATCAAAATATGAAGACTTTAAATTTCATCAGTCGCTCTTAATAGAAACATTTCACTGCTGATAATGCAATGATCTAATTACCTAATTAATTTATTTATTTCAGATTTACATATCCTTTATTACCTTGCGTCAGATAAGATAATGGTAAATTATAATTATTTTGAATACAATGTAATCTTAAACGTATAGATATATTCCATTTTATTAAATAAATAAACAAATTTTATTTTAAAAGAGATATAAATATTATCAACTCGTGTAGGTAAATAAAATAACTATAAAATTAAAATAAATTAAAACTAAAAAATATAAAACAAATAACACGCTATTTGTTTTTTTTTTATTATTGGGTAGGTACTTTAAAGAACAAGATATTTGTAATGAAACGAGATACAAATTTGTACAGATAAACATGTACACACAATGCATAAATCATATATAATTTTCTAATATACGACTACCAAAAAGATATTTAACTAATAAATAAATAATGAGTATGTAACCAATTCATGTTGGCCTATGATGAAACAAACTTTTCCTAAGGAAAAAATAAAGGCTCCTTTTCCTTTTCCAAAAACATTCTCCAATGATTATGATAACACCAGATATGATCCCCAGAAATAAGACTGCGAATGCAGATGTTAAATCCGGTAGCCTCGCGCTCTGATACGTCACTGGTTTTTCACAAACTTTTAGTTCCGGAAAAAGGAGAGAGTGAATGCGTTTATATACTCCTGATTCATACATCTTGATGATGCTGGAAATAATTAAAATAACTTTAAATTTATAACCTGTAGGTACCCATTTTACTGCTTTTACCTACCTATGTTAAAATTCTTAATGCTCTCTAAGAATATATGAGGGCTGTTCAGAAAATAACTGAACTTTTTGAATTACGCGCTATTGGAGATATTTAGTGATATGCTGTTGGCAGCATTGCGTTTCGCATAACCTCCACTGTAAACACATGTTCTTGGATTGTTGATATCTCATTTAGTTTTCGTGATATTGTTGTTTGAGTGTAACGTGTTTAAGTGCTAGTGTTGATTTTTGAAATGTGCGATTTTCTGGAACAACGATGCAACGTAAAAATTTTGCATGAAACTGGGGAAAACTTTCGCAGAAACGTTTCAGCTTTTGAAACAAGCTTAAGGAGATAATGGTCTGGATCGTACGTAATGTTACGAATGATTTTCACGATTTAAAAGTCGTCGTCAGTCAATTGAAGATGATCCGCCTGGACTAGGAAAGATCTGTGATTGCAACTGATGTCTCCCACGTTCAGAAAGTCAAAGATCTGGTGTGTGTTAGTACCTCAATTGGGACATGCCATAAAATGTTGACTGAAAAATTGAACATGCATTGAGTTGTAGCAAAATTTGTTCCTTGTTTGATGACCGAACAATTGTGTCGTCGTTTGAGGGTAACTCCTTGAACAATCCAAAGCTGGGTTTACAGCTACAGACATTGAAACAAAAGTTCAATCATCACAATGGGTTGGCAAAGGATCTCTATGTCCCAAGAAAGCACGCATACCAATCTCGATCCAATGTCAAAGTGATGCTCACTCTTTTTTCGATTACTTATATAGTTCGGTTATTTTCTGTACAGACCTCGTACGAGTACACAGAGAAAACATAATTTTCCAATGTTAGTGATAATAATGTAAAATTGATACCTATAAGAGTGACATTTTCTCCAGAATATTAAAAAATTCCTTTGTGTATATTGCCTATAAATATTAATATTTTTATGTCTTAAAAATGCATTTTATCGCTCTGTTATTATTCTCAAAAATTGAAAACATCTAACTTCCATTTCAACGGATCAACTACCTAGAAGGTAGAAAATGGAAACGAGAGAAAACAGAACAATGCAAAAGAGAGTTATAGAACAAATAAATGGAAACAACAAAAATTAATATAGATGTGGGTGAAAATACTAGCAGGCGTTGTAAAATACGAGAGGATTATGCAGAAAATATGACAATGTCAAATATTGTCACCTTTTCATGTGATGAATTCACATTCTAAAAATACAAAAATATTTTACTGTTCTTCAGGTAGTGATTGAATGGTTTATTTTATTAATTATTTTCTGGTTTGGTCATTGTTACGAACATTCATATAGTAAAGCAAATTTTTCGAAATGTAAAAATGAGAGATGATAAAATAACTCTTATAAAAATTGTATTTGACAAGTCAGTACAATGAACTTTCTTTAACATGCCTATTATCATACATTTGTATTACACCCTGTATATATTTCATTATATAAACAAATATTTTATGAAATTCTTTCACAAGAGAATTATAAGCGTCTTAAAGTCATAAATTTTAAACGTTAAAAAGTTGATATTTTGCTTTATATCTGTTTAGTGTTTATTTCTAAACATGTGCTAAATTCTCGTTACGTTGCACAACACTGATTGCAACGTCTTTAACAATAAACAACTACAATGTTTGCATGTAATATATAGTGTGATTAAAATAAATAGTTCATAAGAATTCCTAAGGATAAATTCTCGGGTAAATTTATTCATCTTATAGCAAAGATTAACAAACCATAAATTTTCTATAGCTGTTGGTTACACATATATCAGATTACGAATAATAATAATTGCATCCACCATTGCATGAAGATACCAATTGTGATAAAAACTATACGACCTTAATTGAAAACGTAAAAATAAGAAGTACTTAAAAATTGTTTCTTAAGACGTGGACCTTGTAATTCGATATATTTTATTTTGTTTGTAAATATACCTATATTTTTGGTGACATATTTCATACATTATTTTATTACTTTTTCTGTTACCTACAAACAATATTAATCGTTCTACTTATGTACAAACTGTAATTAGGGAAGTCCAGAAAATTAAATAGGTGTCAAAAAAATTAATACCTATTAGCATATTCTTAACATTGTCATGATACTTTTGTATAAAAAATATATATTGATGTAACCACAGTTTTTAATGTTTCAATATACACAAAAAAATCCGGGTTACACTTTTGTCGACCTTCACCCCTACAATTTGGCAATAATATCATGAAGCATAACATCCTGGTCTTAATAACAACGAAATGCGTACATACATAATTAAAATTGAATAATATATGGTACGCATGGGACGTTTCAATATTCCATATATGAACTTAGCTACAACAGATTCTTGAAATTCGAATGTGACTAACTAAATTTACCTATGCAAAGTTATTTCAGTTAGCCGCTAGGGGATGCCAATGTTGGCAAAATATTGTATTTCCCAAAAAGGTTAGAAAGGCCAGAGGGAACAAAGACTGCAAAGATGGTTTTCCTCGACTTGGTGTCTTGGGCGGGGAAACATTATTTTAAAACCCATTGCACTACTAGAAGTAGTAGTAGTGAATTGGGGCTGCCTCAGCCTTGTAATTAGACCACAAATGGTCCCCTTTTGCCTACCTCGCTGCGTCCCATCACCTATCCATTTTCTACACTGACGTTCCTCGAATCTACCTGACGCCCTGATGAACGCCAAGATTTTGATCCAAGGCAGGTCCCTCAGCTCAACCACTTGCAGCTCTTCAGTACAAAAGACTTTACGCTTTAACCAGCCGAAGGCTGGGCAGTGACCCGGAAGATGGATAGGGGTATCCTCCCCTTCTTCATATTTAGGGCATAAAGGGTTCTCCTCAATTCCTAATAAGCTTAAGTCTGCAATGGCCTGTTAGAATCCCCACCATTTGCTTTAAAGCTCTTCGACTAGGACTCAGCAGCCATCTCGTATTAGGTTTGTTAGGTCCATATGTACAGCTTTGGGCTTGTCTATATCCTTTGTTCATCCTCCAGTTTTGATCTAATGTTTGATAGGCCCATTTATTAAGGGCTCCATTAATGCGACCTCATGTGATTCCCAGGATTGGTTCAGTTCCCTGGTCAAGCCGCCTGAATCCAAGACGAGCCAACTGGTCTGCTCTCTCGTTACCAGGGATGCCCATAAGACCAGTAACTCCAATGCATCCCCACAGTCCTGAACAAGGACGAAAAACTGGAATACATACCCAGTGAAAAACTTTCCTGGAGACCATTGCTTTCTAGGTATATCCCCACTCATGAATACTCATCTCCCATTTGAGATCCATGAGTATAGCATACTAGGGATCCCAGGAGGGATATATCGCCTTCCTGTTTCCACTGCTTTCTCGAGAGGAAGGTGGTGACATATTTCCTTTCTAGCCTCAACCGTTCCTCTGCTTCAATGATCCTCATAGTAGATATTGTCGCCCTGAAGTCTATGACAGCCTTCAACAACAAAATAGTGTTGTGGAAATAGGTGAGAACTGCCAACAGGTACAGTAGTACATACATCTTTCATATTTCTCTTTTTAAATCTATGATATTTCTTTTTTTCATTTTCTAAATGATTCGTATTTTTAACAATTTTTACCACCAATGAATTTGTGACGCAAATATGGTTGGAAATTTTATTACTTTGATAATGAAAACGAAATTATGTTTTATAGAGTTCAGAAACTTGTAATCGAATTATGTTTCGTAAAACTTATTGAAAATATTAAAATTTTGAATAACACATTTCGTAAAAAAATATAAATATCTCGAGTTGGGTATTTTTATTCGAGGGGCATTCAATTAGAATAATTCAGTGAAAATGTTCGTTCCTAATTATTAAAAAAAAAGTAAAAGTTTTAGAAATTTGACGCCCTCTAGAAGCAAGTCGGAAACACAGAGATAAGTTTAGTTACGAGTACATCATCTTATTTTGACTGGAATGATTTGTGGTAGTTTCAGGTTCACGGAGTATTGGCACCCTGTATAACTCTTTTTAGAGAATAATGATAATAATAAAAAATTTAGGGAAATTATTATCGTCTAAAGTGGATTATAACCAATTTCAGTGACCGTGACAAATTATTGTTGTGAATCGACTTGTGTTTGAAAAACAATATTATATACTTCCTGTTATAGTAAAATAATATATTTCTTAAAATTTTCAATATTTACCTACCTGAGATTAATTAGTTTTCTATAAGATGAACGTTTCGACATTGGAAATGCAATGTAATTTACTGTATCTTTTATGGTTATTTCAGCAATATCGTATTTGCATTTATAATTGCTAATAATAAGCAATTCTCTCCTTGCGACATGACTGGAGGCAAAAAATCCATATTTTCCCTTGGCAGCTTTTAGCAAACCTTCCGTGATGCTACTGATATTGTTGTGGAGATAGCCACGTAGATAGATTTCGTTTAACTGAGTGATGTTCATGGACTGCAATAAAGAGTTCATGGATGATTATTATAATAATGTAATTTTGTAAATTATGGCAAATAATAACAATTGTAGCATTACAGACATAGAATAATGTTTTTTATTGAATAATTTGTATTAAGAAATATAAAACCATAGAAATAAATATCACTCATATGATGACTCGATGACAGTTATCAAATATCATGAATCAAATTGTGGTATGAAAGATTAGTTGCATAGTTTGTTTATGATCATACATTGTTCATCGACTCCACTTTTCTGTGTTTCCAACTTCGTAAAATTTGTTATTAGCAAATTTTCCCCATAAAATCTAACGATGCATTCAAAAAGGAACAGGGACAATAATATATCTTCATATAGAATGATCTGAGCTAGAAAGTTAACTCGTAAAAAATACATATAAGGGCTGTTATTTTTTTAAGAACCGCGTCTCTTTGATGGTGTCCACGTATTTCCCAAACACCCTGTATAAGAACAAAAAGTAAAATTGATATACCCTAGAACACATTTTCAAATCATATCTCAATTTAATAGTTTTTTTCAACCTTGATGTTTCTTCTGATAAATTCCAAATGTTATACGATTTCACTTAAGGTGGCCATATTCCCGGCCGAGAAATAGTAAAATTTCTGGCGTTTTTTGGTACTGACATCTTTGAAAGTAAAACGTGTAGAACAAAAGTAAGCACAAAAATAAAATCCTTGATGTTTTGTTTATTCATTGTTACCATTTAAATTTACTCAAATAAAATAATAACTAAAAAAAAGCGTTTGTAAAACATGCGTTTGCTGTTATTCTAACCCCACATTTTAAGAATTATTTTCACGTACTTATAAATAAAAGTAAACAATTTTATATGTAGGACTAAGCAAGTAAATGTTATAAGAATATTTACATGTGGAATTATATATAAAAAAGTTAGTATTTTCGTAGATTTCAGTACCTAAAACCTTGATGGTTTGATCGTTTTTTGCACCTGTTTATTCGTTTTACTGCGGCGTCTTTGAAAATACTCAGGTGGCATGACATAACATTCCTATTATTTGATAAGCTTTAGATTATTCAGTTATTAAATGTTTGAAATTATTTGTCTTTGCGGAAAACACTATTTAAAGAATATGGGGCCCTTAAGCTTACTTTAATTAAGTTCATAAATTTTATGTCAATTACAGTTCTGTATGTAAAATATAAACGACTTGCTAAAATAGGAGAAATACGTTTATGTCAAAAATGAAAGTTGAAATCAACAAATTCGTAACAATTGTTTAAAGAGGTGATACTGATGTTACTGATTAATCAAGTATAAAATAGGTCGACCACAAACAACTACTTTCTATTCTCGATCAAAGAGACATACTTTTGTGAATAATTCCTATTTTTATAAGAAATAAATTAAATTGGAATCAGTAAATTTGTATAATGTTACCTGCTCTCAAAGAAAACTAAACAACGGTTGATAATCTGTTAATCATATTCAATTAAAATATTCACATGTTATGTCATACAGGCTATATTTAAATGAGGGAGCACAAATGCTACCAGATAACCTAACCTAACTTAACCTAACCTTGAGGTCGTTAAATGATAATTGGGTTAAATATACCTTATATCAAAGTTGTTTCATGTGCAAATTGCAGAATGTTTGAATTTTTGAAAAACATCACAAATCGCAAATATCTTGAAAGAATGAAACTTGGACTGATGACTTAAATAAATAAAAACTTTGTATATATAATTGTGTCAACCAGTGGTGGACATGCTAGAAGAATCCTCACTAAGAATCAAAGAATTTCGAACTGAAATTCTAAAAATTCTGTAAGCTGATTTGATTTACAATTGTATTTCACAGAAAAAATATTTCGTTTCGTTCAGAAAATTAAAAATTTCTGCGATAATGTTTTTTTATTTATGGTATCTAGTCGACAGACCAAATTAACCTGCGTCAAACATCTTTCGAGATATTTGCGCAAAGTAGGCAATTTTGGTCTAAGGGTTGTTTGGTTTGGAATAAAATCAACAAAAGATTAAGTAAATAATAGCTCAGGGCGGAGAGGGAGATCCCAATATCTGCCATAAGGATCAATGAAATTGGGAACCGGTTGAGGTTAGGAAGGAAATATATCACCACCTTCCCCTTGAGAGAGCAGTGGAAACAGGAAGGTTACACGTTCTTATACTGATGAATCTCAGGTGGGAGATGAGTATTTTGGAGCAGGAATATACCTGGAAGACCCTGGTATCCAGGAAAGTTTTTCACTGGGTATGTATACCACAGTCTTTCAGGTAGGTTTTTGCTATTTTGATGGTGGTAAGTAGGGAGGTGGTAAGGAACTGTATAGAGGAGGAGGAGGCCGTCTAGCCGCGCTCAGAGCGGTTAACTCCCCAAGGACAAGATCTGTCCTTGTTCAGGAGTGTAGGGTTACAAGACGAAGAATGGTAGGGTTGCTTTGGGTATCAGGCGACATGGGTATCTTAGCAATGAGAGAGCAGCTCAATTAGCTCATCTTGGATCCAGGGGGCCTGACCAGGGACCTGAACCAATCCTAGGAATCACACAAGGTAGCATTAATGGGGCCCTTAATGAAACGGCCTATCAAAAACTAGGTCAAAACTGGAGGATAAACAGAGGATGTAGGTAGGCCCATAGCTTTATTATATTGCTTGGGCCTAACACACCTAAGACGAGATGGCTGCTGAGACTTAGCCGAAGAGCTCTGAACCAAATGGTGGGGTTCTGACAGGCCATTGCAGACTTAGGAGGCATTTAAGGTTAATAGGAATTGAGGAAGAAATTATGCTCAAAATGTGGAGAAAGGGAGGATACTCCTATCAATCTTCTAGGACACTGTAGCCTTCGGGAGATTAAGACATAAAGTCTTTAGTACCCAAGAACTGCAAGGGAATGAGATGATGGACCAAAAACCTGGCATTCATCAGGGAGTCAGTTCTCACGTCATCGTGTAAATCCTTAATATTTTGATAGACATATCATTCTTCTTCAGAAACAGAAAAGAGAGCCGCATCTCTCGAAACGTCAAAAAGTCTAACCGACGAGTGACAATCAGTCTGAAAATAGTTCTCCAAATATCTTGCGCAGTTGTGAATATTTGAAAATAAAATTATTGTTGAACCCCCACTTACCCTCAAATAGTTTTCATCCTGACTGTTTTTAACATATCCAATTTCATAATCACTGTCCAGCAAATCGTCAACGGTACGGATGTTAGTCAATTTTATGGACAACACAGAAGTAATGAATGCTGAATAAGAATTGTAGATTATAAGTGTGAATATTAAATAGACTATAATTATGATTTGCTCTGCAGAGGAACCAGGCTTCCAAATGCTTCCTGTAAATGTTGAAGTATGAAAGGAATTAAAATAAGAATTAATTGTCACATCAGGTAATTTTAAAATCGCCTGCAGTGTACCCAAAAAGTGTGTTAAAATCATAGGAGCAATTTATTGTTGGACAAAAAATTATGTTTGATTGTAATTGTTATGTAATTGTTGTAATTATGTTTGATTGATAAGTATACATGTGCATATTTACATAAATTTTCTAATAACATGCAATATTTTAATAAGTCTGATAACTAATTTTATTAAAAAATTACGGCTAATCAAACCAACAGTCTTACTTAACTAATTAGCAACATTGTTTATATAAATACATATTTGCATGACACATATGGATAACATTTTCTGTTAACGCACCATTAAATTATCTAAATCTAATTACTCTTTATCAAAATGTTTTCATTTAATGTTGCATTGCAATGACATTGTGTCTTTACACAATGTCAAATATATGTATGTACTTACAAAATTTAAAAAAATATATAAAATAATAAGTATTTTTTCAGTACACAATATGAACGTTTTAAGAACTAAAAACAGTCCCCAAAAGGTCAAAACAATCGTGGAGTACACTTTACCATATTATTCTGTATTTGTTTCATTGAAAACAATGGTAACACAGGATATAACGTCATAAAAAAATTAGAATAAATAGAGTAATTGAATTATTTGTTATGCTAAAAATGTCACTAAATAATTTACATTTTAGCAATTGGTGCAACTTGTATCGATACATTTTTTTGGTACCAAGTACCTATTTCGGCCGTCAAAGACTATGCACCACTAAAAACGGACATTAAATTCAAAGTTGATTTTCGTGAACGCTAATCTTGTCTGTTTTTTTAATTAAAGTTTTCAGAATATACAAGGTGCAGGCGAGGATAAATTTTTTCCCGGAAATTCGTAGCATCATAAGGAGCGTCGGCTTTAAACAAATTGTAGTCCCATCTTTCCCCAATAATCTCTGTTATTAATTGTGATACACTATTCTCAAAATATTTGGTAAGCAAAATTTTAAAAGTAAAACTGAAAGTGTAACACTGCTTTCATATTTATTTATCACCTTGTGTTTTGCAACATTTAAGGTGATGTAAGGGTTTATAATAAGCTTTTTCATATAAAATTCCTCAAATTCAAAACACTTATAATTCCAAAAAGTATTATACGAGTCAAGGAATATGCAAGAAATAGATATAAATCGAATCGTTCACATCGAAAGGTTCATAGAGCTTGATAGACATATTGGTGATACTACAATGTCGTATTTGCCTACATTTGCTTTATTTGACAGAATTTCATACGTGCAAGTAAATACACTACAGTAGGGTGGCCCAAAAAAAACGAATATTTTTTTGTGTCTCTTGTGAAAATATGTTAGTTTATCATGTTTCAAGAGCTCCCTCAAAAAATCAGCTCCAAAGCGACCTCCAAAAAAATTTTTTTTGGAGGTAGCTCAAGATTTTTAAAAAATTCCAAAATCGTCAAAAATTTAATTTTTTTAATTTTTTTCTCATTTTTATCATTTTCTAGGTTCAAAAAAATCTCGATTTTTAAAATTTCAAATCTTTATTTTTAAGTTCTATAGTTCTAATTATTTTAACTTTCAAAGTATTGTATCTGTTTTCGAGCGACCTCTAAAAATAAATATCAACGAACTAATAATTTTTTTTATTGAATTTGATGAACAAAATAGTAGAAATAAATCACGAGACACTTAGATTTTAAAAAATTTAAAAATTATAAATATCTGATACTCACAGTGCGGTAGTAGGTACATTTTGCCTCGACAATGTTTTTAAGTGTTTCGTGATTTATTTCTATTCTTTTTTTCATCAAATTCAATAAAAAAAATTATTAGTTCGTTGATATTTATTTTTAGAGGTCGCTCGAAAACATTTTAGGTACATTACTTTTAAAGTTAAAATAATCATACCTTTAGAAATTAAAATATCGATTTGAAATTTTCAGAATAGAGATTTTTTTCAACCTAGAAAATGATAAAATAACGAGAAAAAAAATCAATTTTTGACGATTTTGAAAATTTTTAAAAATCTTGAGCGCCCTCTAAAAATTTTTTTTTGAGCTGATTTTTTGAGGGGGCTCTTAAAACATGATAAACTAACATATTTTCACAAAAGACACGAAAAAAAAATATTGGTTTTTTTTGGCCACCCGAATATACAGCATATTACAATTAAGAGCCATACCGTTTGAAATTATACCTATTTGATCAAACCGATGTAAATGAGAAATTGTCTTTTCTTAATGACAGTCTGTTGCAACTTTTCAATGATCATGCCCCTTTAAGTACAATAAAAATCACAAGAAATTACAATCCTTGAGTTACTGATAATGTCCGGTTACTTATGTCGCTTCGAAATAAAGCTCAAAATAGATGGAAACGTAGTAGAAATGAAAATCACTATAATTATTATAAAATGTTACGTAATTATACTACCTTAGTATGTAGACACGTAAAGAGAGCTTTTCTAGAATACAAATTAAGGTCCGATTGTGTAAATACTATATGGAAGAAATTAAAACTAAATTCGGGTAAGTCTGACATTAACATTCCTACCCACCTTCATAATGTAAATGATCTTAACAAGTATTATTAGATCAAAACACGATTAACTATTATACGAATAATACTTTTAGTGAAAATATAATCATATTTATTTTTCTAGCGTCACTGAAGACGATGTACAGAAATATTTATACAAAATTAAAACTACTTCACAAGGTTGTGATAGATGAAATGTTACTATATTGTTGTCCTTTAATAATACCCTATTTAACCCATATTGTTAATACGAGTCTTACGCAAAATGTTTATCCAGATGCATGGAAGTTAGCTCTTGTAAAACCTATCCCCAAAGTCAATAATCCCCAGGAATTTAAAGATTTGCGTCCTATCAGTATTTTGCCAATATTATCAAAGGTTCTAGAAATGGTGGTAGATTTACAGATCCGAGCTTATGTTGAAAAATTAAACATTATACCACAGTTTCAATCGGGATTTAGGCCGCTCTTTAGTTGTGAAACTGCGTTATTAAATATTGTGGACGATATTTTGAGAGGTGTGGATGAAAACAAATTAACAATTTTGACACTTATCGATTTCTCAAAGGCCTTTGATACTTTAAATTATGAAACTCTATTTGCTGTGCTTAAATACCTTGGATTTAGTAATGGCTCCATCCAATTTTCGTAGCTATTTTCTCAATAAATAACAATGTGTTAAACTGGGGGAAGAAGTATCTACTCCTTTTAGAATATGTTCAGGTGTGGCACAGGGCTCTATTGTCGGACCTCTTATCTTTATGCTTTACACCTCTTCTATACAAAAATCAATTCACAAATGTAAATTTTCTTTTATGCGCAGACGACACCCAAATTTATTACTCATTCCCACCTAAAGATTGCGATTTAGCTTTACAAGACATAAATAAGGATATTTCCAACATAATAAATTGATCAAAAGATCACGGTTTGAATATTAATTCAAAGAAAACATCGGTTTTACTTTTTGGCACAAAAAAAGCACGACTTAATTTTGAACAGCGAGCAAATATTAAATTTGCTGACGAAGAAATTCTACCTGTAAATAATACTAGAAACTTAGGATTAGTGATGGATTCAACTTAATTCAAGCTTCATATAAATAATTGTAAACCTACGTAGTGCTTATGGAAACTTAAAATTGTTATATAACAACAGATATTACATCAATAAAAAAGTCAAAACTCTGCTGTGTGAATCATTAGTTCTGTCAAAATTTAACTTCAGTGATGCAATTTATGGACCCTGTATTGACTTCAATGATGCTCGAAGAATTCAAACAGTTCAAAACGCATGTCTCCGATTTATATTCGGAATCAGAAAAAGACAATCAATTTCTCATAAACTCAAGGAGCTTGGATGGTTTAACATGTCTGACAGGCGTCTGCTGCATACTGCGAGCTTATTTCATAAAATAGTTATTAATAAAGCTCCTACATATTTATATAATAAAATCTCCTTCAGAAGTGACGTCCGTAATATTAATATAAGATTTAAAGGTCGGCTGACTCCTTCTGCTCGTCGTACAGAATTATTTAATTGTTATTTCACTTATCAGATAACTAAAATATACAATAACCTTCCTAAGTCTATAAAATCTAAACCAGTGTCTGATTTCAAACGTACGCTAAAAAAGAAATTACTAGATAATACTAAATAAAACTTTTTTGTTATTGATACCTTAGTACTCCCATTCTCTTCTTTCTAAAATGTAGAAATAGGTATTTTTTTTGTATTTTCTTTGGAATTAGTAACATTCTCTTATGTAAATATGATATTCACTATGCCATAAAATTATAAACTGTTAGATAGTTATGTTTGCTTAAGATTAATAACAGAGGTCATGTTCGCATGACCAGCTGATCTTCGGCATTTTCTTTTCGATTCATTTTTAAATTAATTTTATTTTATAACTTTGTTAATTTGTTATATCTTATATAATGTGAATCAGAAAAGAAATAAAGTTCCTTTATTATTATCATTATATTCTATATCATGTATCTCTAACTATGGAAACAGGTTAGTACCAACAAATTTAAACTGTACAAAATAATTGATACCTAAAAGTCATTATAATAGTCCCCGGCCAGGGGTGAAAAAAGATAAAATAAAGGGTTTTTTCAAGATAACTCAAAAGTGGTAAGAGCTTGAAAAAAAATTCTAATAATGGTCTATTGACTTTTTCTTGTACTACTCGTATTAAAATTAACAGAGTTAGGGAGACTAGAAGAGAATTTTTAATAAAAAAAGTTATAATAATTTCAATGTTTTAATCGTTAATTTTTATGATTTAACACTAAAACAATTTCTTTCTATGCCATTCGATTGATTTTTTAAAATAATGAAAAGTTCTTTCGAAATTTTGTTTTACGACAAATATAAAAAATCACGTCCGCTTTGTGAAATTGCTTTTTTCTAGTTCTTACCCCTTTTGAGTTATCTTGAAAAACCCCTTTATTTTATCTTTTTTCGCCTCTGTCAGGAGGTTGAAAAAAAATTACTGTCACTTGTTATTATATATCTCACACTAACTTACATACAATGTGGATACAAATTGTGGAATACTGCTTATATTTCCTAAAATATTCATTATATCAAAAACATGTTTTAATAAAAGTGTTAGGGGAAATTATTTCCCGTTTAGTGATATCAAGCAATTTTTCGTAGCAAAAAAAATGTGGTTGCCAAGGTAACCAACTTAATTTTTTTAAACGGCAACCTATACTTTTTTGGTGAAAATTAATACATTGGACCTTTCTAAATACGATACGATACAATTTTAATGGGGTTACATAAGAAAAAAATACAGTAAATTCAATTTTTATAATTTTATTTTATGTCCTAAAACCTAACGTGAGGAGTCAAAAAATCAAAAGATCAAGGTTTTAAGCTAATTTTAATAGGATAAATGAAAAAATAGAACGGATGTGAACTAATTCATTAAATGTTCAAAATGACGGCCATTATTGTTCAGGCACATTCTTAGTCTCTTTAAAAACGAATCACTCAAGTTTGACAACGTGTGGTGTCGAATATGCCGTAGCTCGATTCTAATTCTCGCTTTAAAATCTTCCAGATCTACTGGTGTTTCTCTGTAGACTATACTTTTTAAGTAATCCCACAAAAAATAATCACACGGATTGGAATCGGGTGACCTTGCTGGCCATTTAATGGCACCTCCGCGACATATCCACCTTGCAGGAAACATTTCCTTTCGATATTCTCTTATGGCCCTTCCATAATGTGGAGGGGCTCCATCTTACTGAAACCACATTTGATTAATTGGACCTAGGGCCTCCAAAGCAGGTACAATTTGTTCTCTCAACAAATTAAGATATTTGTCGGCAGTTAGGTTCCCATCAATAAAAAATAGTCCAAGAAAATTATGTCCTACTATACCTGTCCAGACATTAATTTTTTCTGGTCGCTGGGTTCGAGTTTCTCGTATCCAGTGAGGATTTCTTGACACCAATATCGATAATTTTGTTTATTACAAAATCCATGAAGCATAAAAGTGGCTTCATCGGTGAACACAATCCTTTTGCCAAATTCCAAATCCATGCTAAATTTATCTAACATAGTGTTACAAAATTCAACAGGTTTTGCAAAATCATTTTGCACAAGTTCTTGAACAAGCTGCATCTTGTAGGGATGAAACTTTTCCTTGTGAAGTTGTTTCAACACAGAACGGTGTTGAAACAACTTCCCGACTGGACAAATGTGGGTTCTCTTGTATTGACAGAAGCACATTTAAAGTAGTATCGTCATCAATAGCTGTTTTTAGCCGCCCTGTATGTAATTTGTCTTTAACACTACCCGTCTCGTTAAATTTTTTTAATAATTTGGAAACACAAGATTGTGTTATTTGAGGTCTGTTTGGATGAAGTTCGTTAAACAACTCGCATACTTCGCGCTGTGTCCTTTTCCTGTCACCATATCCCACCATCATTAAAACCTGTATTTTTTCCCTTTCACTTAATTCAAGCGCCATTATAACTTACTAAGTACTTAAGTACACGGAAAATTGAGTAAAAAAGTACGTTTACTGCAACAATGCACACAATTACAAGCAACTGACAGCTAGTGAGAGTTTCGCATTGTTCTGATTTTGGCATGATGTTAATAATTATTTTGATAAACAGTGTCAAAAGTGTAATAGAAAACTTAAATTGTTTGTATTTTTTTCTTATGTGACCCCATTAAAATTGTATTGTATCGTATTTAGAAAGGTCCAATGTATTAATTTTCACCAAAAATAGTATATGGTGCCTTTTAAAAAAATTATGTCGGTTACCTTTGCAACCACATTTTTTGTGCTACGAAAAATTGCTTGATATCACTAAACGGGAAATAATTTCCCCTAACACTTTTATTAAAACATGTTTTTGATATGACGAATCTTTTAAGAAATATAAGCAATATTCCACAATTTGTATATATAATGTATATAAAATATTCAGGCAAGTTGACCAAAATTGCGATTTAAAGGCCCATTTAATTGGATTAATAAATTCAGAAGACGAAAATAGATAGATTTTGGAAAGGTTAACAACTTTTTCAAGTGCGCGATATAGTGATGTTTTTTCTTGTATTATGTATTTGTCTGTTTATCTGTGCCAGGTTTTTGGTTAAGCGGAATTTTCAGAAAAATAAACCTTAATTAAGCGTTTTCGCGGAATGGTTTCTTTGGCTAAAGATTTTATGTTAAAGACCTCACCTCCTTAGTTCACGGAAGACCCTAATAAAATATTATTATTATGGTATTGCATTCACCTTGTTGAGTGACAATACCAATGCTCCACACAAACGAATCCAACAGTCCAGTATCTTTATTTTTTATTTCCGTGGTCTTAAAAGCTTTCATGATTTTTTTGTAAGTAGTCATTACAACAGCTAAGATAGCACAAGTCCCAACCACACATAAAATTAATTTTGAACTAAATGGAATTAAAAATATATCTCGAAGTTCGTTTGATTGTTTAGGTTCAATATAGATACTCCTTCTACAAGAAAATATAAGGAAATGTCCACTTTAAAATAATCTTAACTTTAGTCATAAACTTGCCTCGACTCCATAATGTTATGTGAGAACGCCATATCACGGTACCTTTCTGGCGTTTTAATAATACTGTCTAAAGCTATATCAATTTCTTCATTGATTGTAGCTCCAAAAAGGTCACTCCACACACCATCAGCATTTTTATTTCCTAACTTAGAGTAGGTAATAATACGTTCACTACAAAAATTAAAAAAAAATTATAAATATCAATATTAGTGGTCACTAGAGTTAGTTCATCCCATATCTGATATTCATTCAATATTCCTTAAAACCTTTTTTTGAAGAAGTTTCATTTTCTAATTGTTGTAAATCACATATAAACTAGTTTTAGATATTCATCTATGAAGAGCCAAGTTAGTTAAAAATGTTATATATATTACCAAAACATTAAAATTACTTGCCTTGCATTTAATATAGCTGAAAAGTATTTGACGAATTCTTGCATATCAGCATCGTCACTGTCGTCTTCAATAACGTTTTCACTTGCGAGTGCATCACTTGAATTTTTTTCTCCGATAATTAAAGGGAATTTGTATAAGTTGTTTCTTTTTTCAGTATGTAGAAAGGGTTTCAGATTTGCAGTGCCATTTTTTAGTGTCCACAGTCCTGGTTTAATTGGAAACATCAATAAAAATACTATAAGCTATTGATTTTACCTACCAAGAAAACACACGACAAGAGAGTTATTATAAGATTTTCGAATTTTATAAATTTGAAGCATACAATATGAGCTTGGATATGTTGTATTGCCACTGCAAAAATTCTTCATTTCGTAGGACTGTGAATTATTATTAATGAAAGGTGTAAAAAGGAAAGCACGTTCTTCAGATTGTTCTTTAATACAATTGTCATTATCTTCAGATTTTGTTTTGTTTAAGTCAGTGTTAACATTTCCTAATATCTGCAATATAAAATACATACATTAAAAGATTAAAAATCTTTTATCATTAGAAAAGTTTTTATAATAATCATAGATCTAAGATTAAGTTATTTGTTGAGATTACCTGATACAAAATTTTCGGGGTGTCTTTGAAATCAGGATGTAACAAAAAATATTATTTTAATGAAAGGGGTATAGTCCTTCCGAAGTCAGTAGAATATGCAAAAAATGTTTGGTAATAAAATTTAATAAGTTTTTAGGCGTCCCAAAAAAAATTTTCTGCTAAAAGTAAAAAATTATAAAATTTATATATAATGGTTAGAAAATTTCTATTATATGTTCATTTGGCCAACAACATATTTTAATTATTTATGTCCTCAAACAATTTTATTATATTGGTGGTAAATTTTGTTTTGTTCCGTTTCAAAAGGTCTCCAAAATGCCATGTTGTGATAATATTAGTAAACAAAATATCCCTCTTATTTCTCCCTTTCGCAATTGTAATATGAATGATTGAGAGAAGGTGCCTATAATAAATTAAAATTGCCTGATTCACACTAAATTCCGCACTACTGCACTGCACTGCTGGGCAATTTATGAACCACTTGTCGCCTGCAGTGATTTATTGCCCAGAAACCCAATACAATTGTGTTCGTTTTTCTTTGGCCTCGCTCGCATTCTTCAACTCGTCGTATACATTTCTACCACCTGCACGTTTAGTTCGACCAGACCTATATAAGGGTATGGCTAAATAAATATGGGAACAAGTTTTTCAAATATTTCAATGCCGAGTTGCTGCTTAGCGACCGAGCCTGGTACATACCTTGAAATTATAGGTTCATCAATTGACTCCGGAAAACTATACAAGCAATTATTTAAACATATCAAAATATAAAATGCCTATCTGTATTACACTTGTATTGACTCTATCTTGAGAACTACAAAATGTGTCCAAAATCGGCTTACACCATTTTCAAAATTACAGATATTATTTTAATTTATTGTATACAGAAATCATAAAAATAAAGATGTAATATATAGGGTGACATAGAAAAAAGTACATTGCATAGTGCCACACAATAGAGGACACTAAAATAAGAAAAAAAGTTCCTATGAACATGGGTCTGCAAGGCCTTTGATTAAATGATACTGGGTGTTGAATTTTATTTTTGTTTGGGTTTTTTTTGAATATCTTTATGAAAAATGAAGTTTATGCTGTAGAAATACATAATGAAGAACAATTATGGATAAGAATTATGTTATCGGCAGATAGATTTCATAATAACCTAGGAATATTTCAAAGATGCCGTCAATCATTAAGAAGAAGAATGGAAAAATGTATTGAAGTACAAGGGCAACAATTTGAACATCTTCTAAAAACTTAATGTTTTGTTTTAATTAATCATATTTTTCATCATACCATNATATTTCAAAGATGCCGTCAATCATTAAGAAGAAGAATGGAAAAATGTATTGAAGTACAAGGGCAACAATTTGAACATCTTCTAAAAACTTAATGTTTTGTTTTAATTAATCATATTTTTCATCATACCATTAAAATTTAATTGTTGAAGTATTTATCATTGTTTTTGCAAATAAAAAAAATTAAAATTCAACACCCCGTATCCTTTAACCGAAGGCCTTGCGGACCCATGTTTATAGGGACTTTTTTTCTTGTTTTAGTGTCCTCTATTGTATGACACTATGCAATGTAATTTTTTCTATGTCACCCTGTATATATATTATACGAAACTAAAACAAAAACGAAGAGAAAAATACACAGTTCTTATCATTACTTGACGTTAACAGTACTTGAAGGCATGAAGTCCGTTATATAAATTAGCAATTCAATACGTAAATATGTCTTTCAAGATATGTAAATGGACGGGTGCTTTGCCTTTGAAATAAAAATTGAATTGTGTACATCCTGCACAACGCAATTGTCATCTGATGAACTTGCCCATTAACCCATTTGTACAATTATAATAACTATGATAGTTTTCCTTAAGCAACAATGTAAGTTGGTTGGTTTTGATTATTAATATTTATAGATACAAAGTGTAACAAAGACGCTGCGACAACTTTTTAGAACTCTTTCCGAAACAAAGATAAATCAAAATTAACATTTTTTCCTAAAACTACGATTCTTTAAAAACTAGAAACGAAGCATAGCTACTCAAAAACCATCGAAGATATAGATCTCATATCTAAAATAGCCCATCTGTTAATTTTTGTTCAAACTTTACATGAAAGTAACTACTACGAGTGAGCTACTCCATTCCAAAACCGAAGTTTATCTAAGTAGTCAGAAATGTGTTTTTTTTGAAGAGAAAAATTGCATGGGAAAATATAAACCACATAATTTAAAATTTAAAGAAAATACATAGGTACTTAAAAGATGCTAAATAACTAATACATTTTTATACAATTATGTTAAAAATTCGATTTGATTATATTTCAAAGAAAATATATTTATTTGGAAAACGAACTATTTTCCTATAATTATGTTTTTCTTCTAAAATAAGCCTACCACGTGTGTTAAACATATTGACAATTACTATAAAACTCCTTTCGCAGAAATCATCGAAAAACCAATTTAACTCTATTGAACCAAATACCCTCAGAAAATTTAAAATTTCTACACCAATGATTTCTTTTTATTTTTAATCGTGACATTGTTTTTGAAATAGTAGTTCTTCTTTGAAACGAGTAGTTAAAGTTATTGTCCTTTAATTCAACTGCATGATAAAGTTATCTTAAAATTAAAAAAAAGCTTAAAAATGGTTCTCTCATTTCACAGACAAATAGAAAAACCACTTTCTTCGAAATGTAATAAATAATCAATGCATTGTTACAGCTACCAAAATGTTCAATAGCGTCGTAAGTCTGGGCTTTTAGTCGCAATATCTCCGCCGGTGATTGACAATATTATACAGGATAGTCTTAAATTATTTTCAAAAACAGGGTAATATTTCTTAGAGTAAACTAACAGAGTGTAGTTAATTTCAGCAATCTACTTACTTTAAACATCTTATTTGATTAAATGTAAACATGGATTCATAATATCAGATTTTCTTCATAAAATTATCCAAAGAATCACAAGCGCAAATATTTTTACTCACTTCAGTGTACATCCTGTATAGTAAATTATTCAATGTTCATAATCACTAGTCAATAATATATATATCTATTGCCCTGGCTTCGTCGTATTATCAATATGCCCAAGTACCATAATGGAAAAATTAATTACATGACCATGACATATAGGCTTTAGCAGCATAGTGCAGGATAAATATAAGCAAATCAAAAAATTACTCTAATGATTCAGGAAAGGATGTTATTAGTTTCCAGTTTTCAAAACAGTCAGGTGACAGGTTTGTTGAACAGTTACAGAAAATCTATCAAGATGTTATGTAATGATGATCTTCATCATCAATTGTTATTTGTTCAAACTATTTGTTATAAGTTCAGAAACGCAAATATATACAGGGTGTTTCAGAAAACATGGACCAACGCACGGGGGCAGATTCCGAACCTGAAAACAAGATTATTTTTCATATCAATATGGGTCCCATTTCACTTTGTTCCTTAGTTACAGGGTGTCAAATAAATTAAAATATTTTTTTTCCAAAAATCTAGATTTTCACTTTAGGGAATTAAATGAAATTTGGACAACTAACTATTTACAACCGAATACACATTCCTAGGTATTAATATGCTGAACATGAATTACAGGGCCGGACTTATTGCAATCCCTTGCAAAAAACGAATTCGGGATTGTCTTCGAGCTGAAGGTGGACACTTTCAACATTTCCTGTAAAATGTTATATTATGTTTATCAAGTTGTTTATTGTAGATACGTTTACAATTCATAATTAATTCTAGATAAATAAATAATTGTTTATATTAATATTACATTTAAAATACCGAAAACTCGAGGGAAAACGAAAAATAGTAAGAGTCAATTTTTGATCAAAATTGAGCTAAAATTTAACCCATGCAATTATAAATTAGAAATCTCAACGGAGAACCAATTTTTTCTTCGATTAAATCCACAGGCTTACAAGTAAGTCCGGTCCTTTAATTCATGTTCAACATAATAATGCCTAGGCATTCGGGTGTAAATAGTTAGTAGTCCAAATTTCATTTAATTCCCTCAAGTGGAAATCTAAATTTTCGGAGAAACTAATTTTATTTTAAAACTTTGACACCCTGTAGCTAATGAACGAAGCGAAATCGGACCCATGTTGATATGAAAAAATAATATTGTTTTTAGGTTAGGAATCTGCCCCCGAACGTTGGCTCATGTTTTCTAAAACACCCTGTAGGTATACATGTTGGGTTAGAACTTTATTAAAAATATGCATTTCTCTGTCCCCAAAGTGTTTTAAACATCTTTAAATAATGTCCCCATTAGACTCTGAACATCTTACTGGGTCCAATTACTATTAATATTCCAATTTTAGAAAGTTTTTACTTTTTTAAAAGTTATTTACGACAGAGATTCTTTTCTAAGTCCAATATGTTAAATTTTAATTGAAGGTTTAATTTGTAAAATTAACATTAATTTATTTTCGGTTTTTTGTTAAAGGTTAATTTCACATTACTCTAAAGCTACTTTAAGTTAATTCTAAAAATTTGTTTATTGAATTTATATACATATTTTAATATTCAACCCGTAAAAAATAAATGTCGCCTCGTCTATGACATACTGACGAGAACTAACAATAGTCCGGTCAAATTAGTCATAAAAATAGTGGTCAAATAACGAAAATTCCGACAGAGCTAAATTTTGGTGGAGACCTTGGGTACACCATTAGAAATAAAGTGTCAAAAGTCCCTATCGATCCCATGTGTGCCAAAAGTTATTCGGGGTCAAGGGTCAAAATTTGAGGTTTTTTGGATTTTTTTCGAAAACGGTAAGTTTTATCAAAAAAGTAGCCCTGTCAAAAATTATAGATCTTAAAATTATCTACAAAAATGTTTTTTTCTAAGAATCACCATTCCTGAGATATCGCGATTCTAAAAGTTGAAGGAGTCCCGTTCTACATGATCATATGTACATATATGCCACGTATATACATAATCAGGCACTTAATACAAGTAAAAACGCCTATTTGTATCTCTTATGTGTATAAACTATACTATTCTGAGAATATACACTCAAAAGAAACTCAGTCAAAATGACGCAGATGTCCTTATAATTGAAACAGCAATAGAACAATTTAATGCAACAAATACAACTATTGTAGTTGGTGAATATGTTGACTTATTAATACTACTCACTGCAAGGACTCCAATTGATAAAATTATATACTTTTTAAAACCTGGAAAGGCTCAACAGCAAACAGAAATATATTCTTAAAAAAGTTTATCTGCTTGTCCAAAATGTCAAAACTATATCTTATTTTTACATGCGATAACCGGCTGCGATACTACATCAGCAATGTTCAGAAGGGGTAAAACATCAGTATTAAAATTATTTGAAAAAGAAAGATTTGATTGATTGCGCTAAAGTATTTACAGAAATTGATTCTTTACCTCAAACAATAATCTCAAAAAGAATTCGCTTTCTCCTTGCTGTTTATGGAGCTCCAAAAAAATTGATTGTATAGATAAATATAGATATTTAATTTTTGTAAAAAATACACGAAACAAGAAACAAGTACAACTATCTTGTCTTCCTCCAACATTGGCTTCTGCTAATCAACACTTGTATCGAGTATACTATCAAGTTCAGACATGGTTCGGCTATCAACTGAACCCAGAAGACTGGGGTTGGAAATTAACAGATAATACTTCGAAACCGATTCAAACTTACTCCCACCTGCTCCGGAAAAACTCCTACACACTATTTTTTGCAATTGCAAAAAAGGTTGTAGTATTAAATGTGGGTGTAGAAGAGTAGGGTTACTGTGTTCTCCAGCGTGTACTAATTGCCAAAGCCAGTCTTGCTCAAATGTCCAATTGAATACAACAGACGAAGGTTCATGTGATTTCGATGAAGAGACAGCTGATTCATCTTCATTTGAACAATTTATGAACATCCAACAAGAAGAAGAGGAGGAAGAAGAAGAAATCGAAGAAGACATGACTGTTGAAGTCGACTTTGAAGAGTATGAATCAGATTAAAATATCAAAAGAAATCAGAACTACAGTTAAAGTCAATAACCAATATCAGTATCAATAATCATCATGTAGTTAAAAGAGTCTCTGAAAATTCCGTCATAGGAATAGGCATACCGGGGAAACCACGTTAAAAAAACGCGCCAAAGTACACTACCTCACAGGTGGTGTGGAAATGTGTGCATATCATGTAGAACGTGACTCCTTCAACTATTAGAATCGCGATATCTCAGAAATGGTGATTCTTAGAAAAAAAAGTATAAAGACCATTTTTGTAAATAATTTTAAAATCTATAATTTTTCTCTGAACTACTTTTTTTATAAAACTTACCGTTTTCGAAAAAAATCCAAAAAACCTCAAATTTTGACCTTTGACCCCGAATAACTTTTTTAGTACACATGGGATCGATGGGGACTTTTGACACTTTATTTCTAATGGTGTACCCAAGGTCTCCACCAAAATTTAGCTCTGCTGGAATTTTCGTTATTTGAAATGTCTGTTTTGACCGGACTATAAGTAGATATTAGGGTTGTAAACGTTGTGAGCAAATATAGTTAGCTAACACTGTTTTCATTTTGTAATATTAAAATGAAATGGACATAAAGAACCTATAATTGATTAATTGACAACGAGGCTATTGATTGATAAAAAGTCATTAATATGTGGCGAGTTATTCATAATATAGGCAAAGGTAAAACAAGAGTTCTATTCACAATAAATTATTGTTAAATTTAGAAATTTATTTGTTCCCACAGTTAAATAAAACATATTAAAGTATTAAGTAGTTCATAATACGAGTTGGCTTCCTTAAATTGGGAAATTTGGTGAGACTTGGTGTATACAATTGCACTTTCGTTAGGTGGTGTGATCCCAACACGTGACATAAGTATTAACCATACAAAAGTTATGTCATTCAGTATAGCATGAATGTGATTCATGGTCATTACCTGACGATCTGCACTTGGACGTGCCCACATCGTGCCTACTGCGATAATCACGTCGGCATCGAGTCCGAAGTCCGCCAAATGCAAAGTATCCAAAATGTTGTCTTCTCCTGATAATAATATTATTAGCCAAGCTATTTTCTCACCGTGGTTTGTTATCTTGTTCGCCTGTAATCACTGATTTAATTAACATTTAGTCAGCAAAAAAATCATTCCACAATACCCAGAATATGTTATTTGTGCAAGAAATACTCTTGTAAAGTAATTACACAGCTCCACAAAAAAAAAGTTTGTAGGTACATAGATTTTGTGTATTTGTTAATGCTGAATACGAATCCGTAGTCTAAAAACCGTTTTACCAGGACATTGTTTGGTAAAACGCTTAAACATCCTCAAAATAGAGCGATATAGTGAGGATAAGATAAAGCTTTGTAATAAAAAATTAACAGTAAACAACAAGACGAATCGATGGAATTGTGAAAAATTTGTGTAGCATCAGAAGAACTGTCGTGGTTTGTTCAAAAGAAAAAACACTACATCCCTGTATTTTTCACATTTAATAAATAAAATGACTTTTTGAAATTTATCGGCGGCATTTCAGTTTTATCTAATCATTTGTAGAAGGCACTGGTGTAGTCCCAAAATAATTAAAAATAAATAATACACCGCAAATATATTTCAAACAACAGTAAGGGCATTGTAAATAGTGACTTGGTAACTTCGATCTGGAATGTCCAGTATGAAAGTTGGGAAGAAATAATTCTATTTTATACAGGAAAAATGTGGGATACTAATGACTTCCACTAACATTAATGTGAGATCAAATTGACCTAGCGCTGAGAGTATCGACGTTAAAAATTGCATTTTTATTCGCAAATATAACATTTCTATAAATGTAATAAATAGTTTACAGTGCATCAGTTTCATTCACCCTGAAATCATAGAGGAAGAAAATAACTACATATGAAAGCAGACAATTTCTTTGATGTTGTATCTACCTGTAACATATTGTAATTTTAAATAATACACGTATTCATTAATACACATTTAAATTTTATAAAAAATTTGTTACAAAGGTAGGTACACAATTGTAAACATATACAGGCAGTCTTATAAAAAACGCCCCAAGCTGTAACTCTGTTAATAATTGTTCTATTTAAAAAAACAAAAGACTGTTGTTAATGGCTTGACAAATACTACAATCGAGCATTGATTTTATTATTTTTTTTGCCATCATCAGAACGTTAGGCGATTTTCAATTGTTTTTTCTTAAATGTCAAGTTATTATTTTTTTGGCCTGATCGATAGAGTATTTTTTTCTCTAGTCAATGATATATTACAACTTGATATTTGTTAAATATTTTATTGAAAAAATATTTTTTTATAAAATTTATTAGAGAAATGCTATGTCTAAAGTAACAACAAAGCAAAACAAATAGATACCAGATCAACGACAAAACAAAAATGTAACAATAAAAAACCTTATAAAAATTGTTCGAACTGTCTTCCATCTTGTTGAATACATAATTGACATCTTCTGGCTACCTCATACGTAGTTTGGTGGTATTTCACGGCAAACGTTTATAATCCTCTCTCTTAAAATATCTACATTTTCCGGATGTGTCAAAAACACTTGATCTTTAAGATATCCTCAAAACCAAAAATCTGCGGGGGTGAGGTCAGGAGAACGGCCGAGCCATCGAACAGGACCAGTCATCTTTCATCAAAATTAGCATTTAATCAATTAGTGTTTCTTCTAGCATTATGCGGGGGAGCACCATCTTGTTGAAAATAAATGCTATACACTTCTGCAAGCGGTAAGGTATCCAAAACGTTTGCAAGATTTTCTGACAAGAGTCTTGAGATAGAGTTCCATCGATGAAAAGTGGTTCAATGAATCGATTACCTAGAATACCGCACCAAACATTGACACTGAATCTCCGTTGCTAATTGGTTTCAACAGTTATTTTGGGATTTTCTTGACTCCAATATCGGTGGATATTTCGGTTAAAAATGCCATTAATACTAAAGGTACACTCATCTGGCCATATAATTTCTCCAAAATCCTGCATCTTGTTGTATCATATTTAAATAAAAATGGCAAAATTGCTTCCTTCAGACACGATCGTTATCTTCTAACACTTGCACTTTCTGTGATATATGATTTAAATTTGTGTTTTTTTTTTTAATTTTGTGTACTGTGTCTTTTGAAGAATTAATATTACTTGCAATTTCTCGGGTAGAAGCTTGTGGATTTTCCTCAGTACTAAGCAAAATGTCTAATTCTACAGGACCATTAAAAATGCGTTGCGATTTTTTAAACTTTTTAAAAGCACCATACATTCTGAGAATGTCTTCAAGTCTTTTAAATTTTCGTCGCTGTGAAACATCCCTGTTTGAAAACCGATTTGCATACAGATGTTCTGCTTGGGCACTATTTGTATTACATTGAAAGTATACTTGCAACATATCGGTCAGTTTATTAGTGTTCATACTTTTTAAGTTACAATAATTTCTTTGTAATTAATAACCACTTGACAAGACACTGATACGTATTTTGCCTAGGAAATGACGCGTCTGTGATATTTAATGCTTCTAAGTTTAATTGTTTTCATGGCAAATTTTACATTTTTATCATAAGTTGCCGTGAATTAGACATAGTATTTCTCTAATAAATTTTGTAAAAAAATATTTTTTCCATAAAATATTTAACAAATATCAAGTTGTAATATAACGTTGACTTCAGAAAAAAATACTCTATCGAACAGGCCTAAAAAAATAACTTGACATTTAAGAAAAAACAATTGAAAATCGCCTAACGTTCTGATGATGGCAAAAAAATAAAATCAGTGCTTGATTGTAGTATTTGTCAAGCCATTAACAACAGTCTTTTGTTTTTTTAAATAGAACAACTATTAACAGAATTACAGCTTGGGGCGTTTTTTATAAGACAGCCTGTATAGCAAGTAGCAAATTAAACTAACTCAAAAATGATTGTGTATAAATAGGTTACAATGTTGTTACATTGTTATACAGAGGGTGTTTGGTCCGCAGATGTAGAAACTAACAATAATATTTTCGTAAAAATAACGCAATTTAGCTAAACTTACCTTAGTCCAAAACATGAAATTAAATATGATACTGGGTGTTAAAGTTTCAAGTTTTTCTATTACCTTGATTTATCGAATAGACATTACAGAAAAAAAATGGCTTATAAAATTTTATTACTCCCAGCTATCATATTAAAACAATCACCCTGTATATTGAATTTTTCTTATAAATAACGAAATTATTTGCTGAGACATTCTAAATATTCGTTTATATTTTTATAGTATGCTTTTAGCTTAGATTGAAGTTTACTGTCAAGACATATTTATTTTAAGGGATACATTCTTTGAAGACCCTTAAAATACATAAAAAAATATGTTTTACTTTAAGAAAGACAAAGCTTTCTCGTGGTCACCTCTGCTTGTCAGCATTAATTGCTTGCTTGATTCACTACACTCATGACGTAATTCTAGAATCCAAATTTTACAAATAAATCTGGCATGTTACACGTAATATCTACTAACCAGGGTATCCCAAAACTAATGGGACACAGAGCAACAGTAGAGTCCTAACATGAAAATATTGCGATTGGCCATAACTTACCTTAGTCTAAAAGTTTACATTAACGAAGATACAGGGTGTGAAAATGAAAATTTGAAGTTCGATTCTTTTCCAAATTTTAAACAGTTTAATATTTTGTTGTTATTTAATTATATGTTCCATTGTAGTTTCTCCTGAGGGAAGAATAATTTATTCCGAAAGCTCGAGTAATAAAAACAGTACACATTCAAGTTGGCTTTGACTGCATACCCGACTATACCTTAAGATTTTGTTCTTTAACTTAGACAGTCGTCTAACATTTTCGTAATATATACATTTAATTTTTTACCTGATTTAGAAAATCTTCATGAGTATCCCCATTGTAAAATGTTATGACACATGCTTTCAATTTTACCTCTTGCAGAAGAGATTCAGTGGTATTTATTGATGAATGCACAGAAAAATATATATTGTTACTACTGAATTTAATGACACTCTTTTTAAGTAATTTAAAATTACAACCTGAAACAAAAAAAAAATAAATAGAGTGAAAGTGAATAAGTTTTGTCTACGTCGCAAAAGACAATCTTCCCTATCGTTATGATTAACCCACGAACCTACATATTTCCACAGTGCATAAGTAGAGTAACAACTTATAATTCTCTAGGATGATATTTTACCTTGAGAAAGCTATTTCCAAAGTTACAACTACTACTAAATCAATGTTATCGTCAAAATCGTTTCAATACACTTTTTGCTTTAGGCATCCCCATAAGAAATAACATAATGGAGAACTCTACATTTTCGCCATTTAGTTCTGCTAAAACAAAATTATTGAGATTTTCCAAATACGATTTTTGATTAAGATTTTCTTCCAAAAAGTAAGGACTAATTATTTTAAGATACATTATGCCACACCAGAAAATTACTTTTTAAAATTTTTTACTATTAGTTATCAATCGAAAATTTGGATTATCTTTAGTTCAGTATCTATAATTTTGAAAGGAAACCACGCCGTTAGTTGTTAATTCGTCAGTAAATAAAATATTGTGATGAAAGGATCTGATTTCAATCAGTTTCTCGCCCATTGTTAAACAAATGTCCAAATGATGACCATTATCTCCATCAATTATTTTTTTATTTTTTTAACTTTGTTTAGGGAAAATTTCACATTTTGATGTTTTTTGAACATCTTGTATGTTTTATTGTATATTTGATGGCTTCCCAAAATAAGCAAAACTTTTTATCAAGAATAACTTTTTCCCGAAAACTCAACAATAAAAAAGTTTACAAGAGTGCGATACTCCATTCGGGGATAAACTGTATATAGTTAAAACGATCTATAAAGACACACCCTGCATTAAATGTGAACAATGAAGGAACTAGTTACTTACTGCTTCTACTTAATATTTGAGAATTGATCAAATGTTAAAGCTAATTTTATAGGAAGATAAGTAAAATTTTTACCTAGTTTAACATTTTCCTCCAAAATAACTACATGTTTTATGCTTCTCATTTTGGCGTAATCAATTATTAGTTGTGTATTGTTCGTAGTCAAGTAATTTTCACATTTCAGGCTTAACGACTCTACACATTTCCCCAATAATATTACCCAAATAACTGCCATGAAAGACATCTTGAAACAAATTGGAATCTATATCAACAAACCTGATTTATATTTGTGGAGGAAGTCATGCTATTAGATAATTAAAATGTAATTTGTACGTACAGTATAATTAAATTTCATATTCTGACATTATTAACGAGTTGTAATTCGAACTTTAATTTAGAGTACTTTTTTATTAAATTGTCTTGCAACTAACTTTTAATAATAGTAAACGCAAAAATATTTGTTGAATCAAGAATAATGTATTTATACAGAGTATTCCAGTATTCTGTATATATAGAATTACCATAGTTTCCTGCAGTCAAGATAGGCAGATTTAAGACAATAACGCTTTTTACGCTTTACACCAAAGTTCTTAGTTAAAATCTGCATACTCCTTTTCTCATTGACATAGCCAAGTAAGGGAATGGCTCAACCATGGAAAAACTGAAAAAAAGATTTATTTATTAATGGTATGTATATGTATATCTGTGGAAATAGTGTTAAAAATAAGTATATTTCTCTACATCTACAATATATTATATAGTTTTCTTTAAAGACTTGATGTAATATTACAGTTCAAATTTCAAATATTGACATTAATCTTAATCAACATAACGTATTTTTATATTTTCATTACATACCAAGTTTACGATTTATATTCGATATTCGATTTTAATTTTGAAAATTTGGACAATAGTGTTTTCGGCCCTTCTCAACTAAAATAATGGTGTCCACCTAACGCTTCCGGTTATACCGAAAGTTGACTTCATCTTCATAATTTTAAACGGAACACCCTGCATATTATTGCAATTTTGAATTTACGTCAATTTTAGGTGAAGTTTCAAAAAGGCTTCAAAAAAAAAAAAAATTAAAAAAGGACTGCCTAATCCAAAAAATGTGTATTTTACAATAATAAAGTTAGAGCGATAAAATTTATAGGGGATATAACTAATACTCTAAGCTTCCCTGCCATAATTTCAAAATGATTTAATTTCATACAGGGTGATAGAAATTTAATGCCGAATTTAGTCAACTTTAAATCTTAACTTATTTATTGTAAGTGGAACACCCTGTATATTTTTGCACAACCTGATGAATAATTTTGTTCTTTTTCGAATGATATAATGGTTCCCTGTACTTCTGATTTTTAAGGTATTTACTGTTTTTCGTGCAGTCAACGGATATCGTACAATTTCTTGCGGGGATGGTTGTGAAATTTAACATTTATTCAGATGCTGACATTTTAAAATTATGTATTCATGGAGAGTGTCACAAGATAATAAATATGACTTACAGTTTATTTAATGAGAGATATCTCTCTCTCTCTCTCTCTCTACTCTAAAGAATACAAAGATCTTAGGAATTTTGTAAACACAGCTATTAAATCTGAAAAGAGAGGGTATTTACAGCATAAGTTTGCAACTGATTCTAGAGCTTTTTGGAAGACCTTGAAATCTCTTAATGTCCATAGCAATAATTCACATTCTTCCCAGTTTATTGCAAGCGCTCAGGAATTTAATGACTTTTTTGTTAACAAGTTACCATCGGTTATTGTTGACAATGATTATATTGCTGATACCTACAGGGATAAATTAGCGCCTAATATATCTGAAAAATTTAAATTTAATAATGTCTCGCCACAGAGGGTACTGGAAATTCTTAACACTATCAAATCTAATGCGAAAGGAGTTGATGGAATTAATTGCAAGATGATAAATTTGATTATACCTCAGTTACTCAATCATATTACTTTTATTATAAATGAATGCTTGAACTCAGCTACTTTTCCATCTTGTTGGAAGGATGCTGTAGTCATCCCTATACCTAAGAATTCAGAACCCTCTGATTTAACACATTTTCGTCCCATTAGCATACTTTGTACCTTTTCAAAAATTTTGGAAAAGGTTGTTCATGAACAGTTGGCTCACTTTTTGGACGCATTTGACGTTCTACCATCAACGTAGTCAGGATTTCGAACGCATCATAGTACTTCTACTGCTCTATTACATGTGTCGGATGAGTTATATAGAGCATATGATAATAATGAAAATGCGTGTCTTGTGTTGCTTGATTATAGCAAGGCTTTCGATACAATTCACCATGCTACTTTATGCTGTAAACTTAAATATTTTGGACTTGATCACAGAGTTGTTAACTTTTTTGAGAATTATTTGTCAGGTAGACGTCAAAAAGTTGTTTTTAGTGGAAATTTTTCTACTTTAATTAATATTACTGTGGGAGTCCCACAGGGTAATGTGCTTGGTCCCTTGCTGTTTTCAATCTATACTGCAGACCTACCGGGTGCGGTTAGAAATGCCCATTCGCATCAATATGCTGATGATTTTCAATTATATTTTCGTTTTCCACTGGGTGACCTGGATAATTCAGTTCAAAAAATAAATAGTGATTTAAATAATATCTTAATATTGTCTCAAGCACATGGTTTAGTTTTAAATGGAACGAAAACGCAGCTTCTCGTTGTTGGTAAGAATAAAGATTTGATCTCGAATGATTTTCGTTTTAAAATTTCTGTTAATGGAACAATTCTGAATCCTAGTAATGACTGTAAAAACTTAGGAGTGTATTTTGATCGAGATCTTAGGTTTTCTACACACGTTAATTTTTTATTGCAAAAATCTTATGCTAAATTGCGATCCTTTTATGTTCACAAAGATTACTTAACAGTAGATGTAAAATTAAAATTATGTGATTCCCTAATTCTTAGTAATATTGCTTACTGTGACACAGTCTATTGGCCCGCTATTTTGAATAAAGATAAAGAAAGCCTGCAGAAGGTGCAAAATGCATGTATTAGATTTTCCTATAGATTACGAAAATATGACCACATTAGTGACACATTTAAACAGTCTAAGTGGCTTAATTTAAATGAGCGTTTCCAACTGCACGTGGCATGTTTGGTTTTAAGATTAATAAGTCTAAAAGACCCTAATATTTATTCGAAAAACTAATTAAATGTAGTGATGTCCATAGCCGTTCAACTCGTTACAAAGACCTTTATGTCGTACCTATGCATGCCTCTGCTCTATTTCGCAGATCTTTCTCTTACAACGCTGTACATATTTATAACAACCTACCTCCTACAGTTAAATCAGCTAGTAACTTTATCAGTTTTAGAAGACAGGTCAAGGCCAGTATATTTGAGAGCAGAATTTAATATTTTTTTTTTATATAATTTAGCTTTTGATATTATTCGCTGTCTAGCATTGAGTTCACGCCTGTGTGTGGGTGGATATATGTGTTTATGATATTGTTCATGTTACACACACACTTTAACGTGTTAGGCGGTTACATGGAACAGCAACTCTGTTGAATCTCGCCGTCTTTTGTTTGTTTTTATAATTTCATTGTTATTGTAGAGAATAAAGACTTTTATTATTATTATTATTATTATTATTATTATTATTATTATTATTATTATTATTATTATTATTATTATTATTATTATTATTATTATTATTATTATTATTATTATTATTATTATTATTATTATTATTATTATTATTATTATTATTATTATTATTATTATTATTATTATTATTATTATTATTATTATTATTATTATTATTATTATTATTATTATTATTATTATTATTATTATTATTATTATTATTATTATTATTATTATTATTATTATTATTATTATTATTATTATTATTATTATTATTATTATTATTATTATTATTATTATTATTATTATTATTATTATTATTATTATTATTATTATTATTATTATTATTATTATTATTATTATTATTATTATTATTATTATTATTATTATTATTATTATTATTATTATTATTATTATTATTATTATTATTATTATTATTATTATTATTATTATTATTATTATTATTATTATTATTATTATTATTATTATTATTATTATTATTATTATTATTATTATTATTATTATTATTATTATTATTATTATTATTATTATTATTATTATTATTATTATTATTATTATTATTATTATTATTATTATTATTATTATTATTATTATTATTATTATTATTATTATTATTATTATTATTATTATTATTATTATTATTATTATTATTATTATTATTATTATTATTATTATTATTATTATTATTATTATTATTATTATTATTATTATTATTATTATTATTATTATTATTATTATTATTATTATTATTATTATTATTATTATTATTATTATTATTATTATTATTATTATTATTATTATTATTATTATTATTATTATTATTATTATTATTATTATTATTATTATTATTATTATTATTATTATTATTATTATTATTATTATTATTATTATTATTATTATTATTATTATTATTATTATTATTATTATTATTATTATTATTATTATTATTATTATTATTATTATTATTATTATTATTATTATTATTATTATTATTATTATTATTATTATTATTATTATTATTATTATTATTATTATTATCCTCATTTACCACCATTAAGATGACACATTTTACGAAGAATTTTAAGAAATCAATTAGAATATGGTCGAATTTCTGCACATAGGATTTTGCTAAAGCCGATAACTTTAGATGAAGGTAACATCGTCAATGTTTTGGCATATTTTCATGCTTACCTTGAATCGTAGGTTCGTGCTGCTAAACAGGATTTAGGCGCTTCAAAAACCTCCATCCGAAACATTTTGAAAATGGTCAGCATCCATTTAAATTCAATTTTGTACCTACACTTCATCCTAGGAATGCTGAAAGACGAACCCAATTCTGTGAAACAATGTTAACGCGAACACAAGAAGATCCAGAGTTTTTACGCAAAATCATTTGGACAGATGAGTCAAAATTCAGTAACGAAGGTATTTTTAATAGACACAATCGACACTTTTGGGCATCAGAAATGACATGCGG